CATCTCTAAGCCATTTTGAGGAAACGCAAATTGTCAATGATGATTTTGGTTTCTTGTTTTACTTGGCCTCACAGATCAGGAAGGTATTAGACTCACCTGAGTTCTGTTTAGTCCTTGCAAGCACAGTGCATCGCATATGCAGGAGCTGGACAACATAACCAAGATTAATATCCACATTTTGAAGTGTGGAGTTTCTAGAATCAGATTGCTGAAGGCAACAAAAAAAAGCTCTGTTTCAGCACTTTAAAGAGCTCTTCAGTATTTTTTCTTAACCTTAAATCATTTTCATTTCGTAGAACAACGTATTTTTGATTACTAGACACATTGAGATAAAACAGTCCTCCTAAATGTACCAGTAAATTGGTGCTTCTTTCTGTTAAGCTATGATATCTTATTCAGCAAACAGAAAAGCCCAAAGTTTTTTTGTTTCTCTCTTGATTAATAAAAAGGCCCCCTGGGGCTCTATACAGATTGGTTAATTCAGGCATGTCTGTCATTTTAAATAGTATTAATGATAGGAGTCTTGATGCTATTTTGGCCATTACTTTTACCAATATTTTGCCACTATTACAAATCAAAGGGAACTAATGATGATTAAAATAATATAATGGCATAGGGGTTTAACAGGGTTGAAGCACAATGGGTTATCTTTGTCCATCGGCTAAGCTGACTTATTCTTTCAGTGTATTCCAAGAGTCATTTCTAGTCCACCTCACCTCTTTTAAATGTCTTCCTTATATGATGCAGGATACAGTTCAGTTGAGAAGCCCCTGCCTTGTGTTTGTACATATGCACCAGACTCTTAATATGCATAACTTGTCTAATGGGATTCACTGTTATGTATGGTCTTAGGCCCAGTGTCCAAAGCCATAAGCTTAAGCTGTTGTGAGTAAATTAAGATGTCTCTAAACTTTACTCTCTGCGAGAAATAACCTTTATTTCAGGTTTTGTAACCCAATATCTACACATGCAATTACTAAAACTACTACTATATATATAGACCTATATTCTTTAAAATTGTGATTGTAGAGGAGAAACACCATATACAATTTCTTACTACATTAGTCAAAATAGAAGTAAGCAAGTAATAAGTAAAGCTATCTCAGGACACTCAATGGATCTAGAAAGAGTAATTTTAATCAGTGATACAATTTATTATCATCTAAAAATAATCTGAACTGTAGCTAAATGTCAGGAATATTTACTTTCCTATATGCTGCAGCATTAACTTGAAATGTTTAAAATTAGTTTATACTTTAATGCATATAATACAGATTATGAAGTTACACGTTTTTACTTTCTTACATACAGATTTCATTTACCCATTTAAATGATTGGGTTTGCTGGAGTAAGCTGAGCTAAAGTACCGTATTCTGGGGTACAACAGCTGTAGTGCCCCATCTGGGATTTCTACCCTCAATCCTTTCGCCAGGAGTTCAGAGCTCTGACTTCTAATCCCAGCAGAGCGATCACTTATTTATTTAAAAGGAAACCATTTTAAAATGCCTTCCTTTAAAATCTTTTGTTAAGCAACAGATGGCATAGATTTCGGGTACAAAGTTGGTCATCTATCATGTGTTTGTAAACTGAATAGTGTGAGGAGAATGTGCTGGGAAGACATGCAGAGTTAAATGTGTGCACAGCAGATGCAGATTAGCAGAAGGCTGGTCTGCTGGATTTCCACTGGCTGTGCTGAAAAGGGAAGTGATAATCAGTGCTGACAGCAGGCCGCCCCTACGTCCCTCCCTAGGTCTGCCTCCGCACTGACTTTGCATTCATTCAGAGCTGCTGCTTCCTCACATACTGTACACAACGCTCTTGGTGTTTAGAATCAGATATTCCACACCCAAGGTAAGATAAACAGGAGATGTATTTGAAGACAAAGAGCTGTGTCTATTCCAGTACAAAGGTTACTACCTGCATCAATGACATACGTCTTGCTATTGTTATTGTAGAGTCCAGTGCTTTGTTAGAATGCGGGTGAGTGCCTTTGGCTGTTGCTCTGATGTACTGTAGGTACACAAGAGTACAATTGGTTGTCTCCCAGGTAGGATTTAGATACTTCCTTGTACAGAAACATCTACACTTGGTAAAGACTAAACACTTAGTCTTTGTTCTAAAAGTCTGGTAATATTTTTCCTTTTCCTTTCAGTTTAATGACACATGCATAGGTGTTTGTACTTGTTTCTGGGAGAGTTTAGTCCTCGTTATGCATGATGTCTGTCTTTAGAAATGTAATCCTTTATAGTCTGCAACAATGATAAGATCCAGGATGTTTATCTTCTGAAATAGCCATAGCATGCCATGTTTGTCATAAGTGAATTGAGGAAAGGTCTGCTTTAATACCTCTGTGATTCTAGATTAAAATATCATTTTGATTATACATACTGTGTTGTGAGAGAGTTGTTTTTGACGGATATCTGTGCCGATGAGTTTTAAAAATAAGAAAAGTAGGAACTGTTGTGTGTGTGAATCTAAATCTTTATGAGTTTTTGTTAGGTTGTATATTTGAGGCGATTCTAGTTATTAGTCCTCTGTAGTTCTGTAACTTTAAAATGCTGGTGTTATTTAAAATATTTTGCAAACAAAACAAAGTTATTCAAAGCTCTTTTTAGGTTTAGAGTTTCACAATTCTAAATTTAGCTTGTTTAAAACCATGTTTCATCCTTACTGAATTTTTCTTAGTGGCTACATCTGTAATTTGTGGTTTGTTAGAATGAATGTGCGTTTTTAATACATTAGCTGTTCCTAGTTTATTCTGTTACATCTGAAGACCAGATGTTGAGATGTCTCAGAAAGGATAATAAAACTCTGTGTAAATGTCTGTGTACTGCATGTTTGTACAGTTTAACTTAATAAAATATTGTCATCTCAAAATAAGTATGAATATTACTGGAAGTAAAAAAAAAAGACACTGAGTTTCAAGTTTTTTTAAAAACAAAATCTACATATAGACCTATTTATCAAAACCTAAAAAGTGACTCCCTTTTTAATATGCTTTATTTTGTGGTGAGTCAAATAATTATAGAAAATTGATGTTCTTCTGTTGCCTAGCCATCACATCTTCTGGCGGCAGGTAGCTCATGCTACGTTCTACTCCATCTGTTTTGAATAGTTTATTTCAACATTATATAATGTAATCTGTATAGTGTTCCCATAAATGTATATTAATAATGTAAGACCGTAAACACATTTAAAAATCTGCAACTGTACCATTTTAAGTTTAGAAACCACAGTAGTATTATCAAATTTTCAAAAACAAAGGAACTGGTTATTGATTTTAGGAAAAATACCACACCCCTTCCACCCACTACAATTGATGGTCAACCTGTTGAAATTGTCAAAGACTAAGTATTTGGGACTGGTCATTGACAAGAACTTAAAATGGGACAAATGTGTCAAAGGTCAACAGAGACTCTTCTTTCTTAGAATACACAGCTACTTTAAGGCAGATAAAACTATCCTTACACTTTTCTACAAATCATTGAAAGTGTCTTAACATACTGCTTCACTTGTTGGCTTGGCAACATAAGTACCGGTAATTGTAATAGGCTTGGTAAATTAGTGAATATAAATGACAAAATAATCAGGATTAATCAAATCAACTTTTACAAACAGAGGGTGACTAAGAAGGCCAAAAGCATCAGGGAGTCTGTGTCTCACCCCCTCCATTGTGAATTCACACTTCTCTTCTATTCTGGGAGATGCCTCTGTGCCCCCAGGTGTAAAACCAACAGACTCAGGAAATCTTTCATTCCCACTGCAATTACACTCTTAAACAATGCAAAGTAACTGTTCAGGTGGGTAGCTGCGTCAGCATGCGTAGGCTGCAAAGAAACAAGTAATGGGTTTATTCCATGCTGAAAAGAGAAGAAAGAAAACGCAACGTTTTGGCTGTGGAGCCTTCATCAGGTGTGAGCTCACACCTGAAGAAGGCTCCATGGCCAAAACGTTGCGTTTTCTTTCTTCTCTTTTCAGAATGGAAAGTAACTACCTTGTCTCTTGTTTCTTTTCTCCTGTAACACTACTGTATTCTCTTCCCTTTTGATGATGTGTTTTTGTCATTGTGTTGTGTTTGACTGTGCCGTAAAACAAATTTCTCCTAGGGGACAATAAAGCTTGATTTGAATTTAATTGAATAGAATTATTGGATTTCTGGGTCATGACACTTTAGGCTTGCACAGTATGGCCTTCCTAAGTTCTCAGTCCTATACCGTTAAGTAGGTCTGCTAAATTCATTAATCAGCTGCTGTACATTTCTTAAGGCATGGTGGCATTGCCGTCTTGCAGCTCCTGTGGCTTCAGTGCGAACAGGGTAATTCAGACGTATAAGACAGACAATGTGATCATTTGGGTTTTTGGCAGGTTCTCAGGTTTCGTACCACATCCCAGAAACGTACAAATAAGATTTCATTGCTCACCCTGCATTGTCCTTTTCCATAGGGGGAACCAATAGGGATTTTGTGACCTGTAGGTTATGTTCCCAGTGTAATCAGTACTAGCTATATTGCTGTAGAGAGATAGACTTCAAAGGGCTCAGTGTTTGTTTTCCTCTCGTTTTCAGTCATTCTGATCAATAAGTTTCCCCTTTTGTCTGAGGAGAAAGAAAATTGTAAATTTTCCACATGTAATACTCAAAACAGGAAAACAAAGGAAATGTTTATTTAAAACATGTTGTTAGAGTTGATGTGGAAGAGTATTAAAAGTCTGAAGCTATGTCTTATCTTATAAACCTTTCATTGGTAGATAAGCAGACATACAGATCTTGTTTCTTAAGGTGCATAACATCTTAGCTAAGGACAAATTAGCTATATGGGCCAAATGGCCACTGTTCATTTATAACCTTTCTTATGTTCTTAGTTGCTTTTAGGTCAAGTCTCAGTTTAATCCTTTCGCTGGCCTGAGGTGACACTATTAAGATGTACTCTGAGCTAAACCCAAAACACATCTTCTGTCCCCACCTATGCTTGTCTTATCTGAGCTAATCTTTCCCATTGCAGGAATATATAGCCAACATCCTGGTCATAGTTCAGTGCTGTGGAATCAGATCAGTCTCTTGCAGCAACTTAACAGACCTCTCAACCCCAATGTGGTACCTGTTCAAGGAAAGCTAATAATTACAAGGCTAATTTGTAGGTAAAGACACACCTGATTTCTTTTAAAAAAATATATTATTCCAGTAATATTTATTGAAAGGCAGTGCTTTAAAGTGACCCAGGCAATATAAAGAGCAAATTGCAGAGCCATCTTGCTGTTTTTTTTGGATATATTTGTAGCTGACTTTAGTTTCTGTCGTATGCTTTTAATTGATATGGGAATATCATAGAAATCAAAAGTCTTGAATTGGAAGAGTTTGGTAAAAGTAGTATTGACTTAAGTTAGATAGCCTCTGATATCTCTCTGTTTGTCCTCTAGCGATGGCAGGACCAAGACCTGTGGTGCTGAGCGGGCCATCTGGAGCTGGAAAAAGCACCCTGCTCAAACGGTTGCTCAAGGAGTACGAGGGGGTCTTTGGTTTCAGCGTCTCACGTAGGTATCTTACTGTACCCTAATCTTCTGCTTTATGGCTCTTGGACACTGAATCTCATCGACTTAATACTTCGGGGGTCTTGGCTTCCCCAGTATGGCCTTGTACGTCCTTAAGCCTCAGGCTCACCATTCTTGTGTGAAGCTTTGCCTTCTGCCTTAACTTTCTGTAGTTCTCAGGTACATTCTGTCTGCTTGGAGTCTGTGCTATGTTTGTTAAAGGATCTGAACCTTTTCCATTTCTTTCAGAAATTTACAATAATCCATTATTCCTCTAAATGTAATGGTCTGTGTATCTTTTATTCCTTTATCTGTTTGCCTTTCTGTTCAATTTGTGCTTTCTGGCGTGGCATGGCACTGTTTTGAAGTGCCAGTTTAGCTCTGTGGCTCTCTGGGGTTCTCAGGATCAGCAGGTTTCTGAAACTCTCCACTGCCTTGTACTGTCAAAACATACAGTCAAGAAGTTTACCAAGTAGTAACCAAGGCAATGAGAAGTCAGTGGCATTTGAACAGTGGCATGATGGTTAGCTTTGCAGCCTTGCGGTTCTAGGCTCCTGGTCTCTGACATCTGTTTGGAGTTTGCATGTTTTCCTAACTTTCACATAATATGTCACCCATTGTTCCAGTTTCCTCTAACTTCACACATCCAGGCGGGGCCTGACCGGCTCTTCTAAATCTGCCATTTCTGTGGTCCTGTGATGGACTGATCAGATGGCTGGTCCTGTGCTCTGAACTTGCACACTATGCTTCTGGGATTGGCTCTGGTGTTCTGCATACGTCATCATCAGAATAAGCAGCTTACTTATAATTGATGGGTGGATCTTTGATACAGAGTAGCTGATTTGCCACTTGTCTTTTGATATTGCAAAAGACTTTCAGAAACCTACTGATCCTGAACACAGCCCTTTGATATTCCCATCCACCACTTCTGTAGAAGGATGTTTACAAATTTTATCAAATTAACACGTTGGCAAGATTAAGAAAAAAGAGAAAAAAATATGAATATTTGTGTTGGAATTTAATTTTCAACTGTAATAACTGCATGATGTTTTTTACTACAAAATTGCCTTAAAAATTGTGTAAAAAGTGGGAAACTAATGTACCTGAAAATTCTATTGTATTTTTAATTGTACCTATTATAAAGTTTTTGGTAAACAAACTATGATATATAGTATAAGCTTCACTTGACGATGTTTGTGGATAGAACATTCAGAATGGGCCTTACTGTATTCTTAGTAAATACTGCTTTGGATTTTTTTTCACCTTTATCTCTAGACAGTTCATTTGTAGTGAGAAGTTAAAACATACCCCTACCAGTATAAAGCCAAAAGAAAAACTGAAGTTTTTAAATGTGTTATTTTCAGTAGCAGATGGAATAAAATTCCAGTATCTGAAGTTGAGCGGAAGAATGGCTTCTTACCAGTTCTTCTGTAGCTTTTAACCACTAAAGAGCTCTGATAAACTCACTCTGTCTCTTGTTTCTAGATACAACACGAAACCCCCGACCTGGAGAGGTGAACGGCAAAGGTGAGTATTCCTGCACATACACAATATTAATTTTACTTCAATACTCCCTTTATTTATTTTAATTTTAAACTGCATTTTAACAGTGTTTTACATTAAGCACTTCAAATGTAGCACAAAAAAGCTTTCAGTATTTTTTTTAAATTATCCGTTTAACTTGCTTAGATCTCCTTCAGACTTTTGTATTATGCTACCTTGTCAACTCCAGAACTTTTCTTCTTATTGCCATAGGTACGAAAAGACCCCAAACAATTTTATTTGCAGATCTGAATATGGGAACATGTTTGGCAGATAGGTAATGCATACCTTCAGTAAGCACTGGCATTGCACAGCTCTTAAGGCCATTTAAAATAATGCCAAGAATTACTAACCACATGATACAGTTTGCATGTACAGGAATATTTCTTTATTTTGATGAACACAGTATGAACATGTTGAGATTAATCTTATGAAGCTAATCTTGTAATTCTTTGATCACAAAAATATGATTTTCTTTTCTGCCGAATAAAACAGAAATTATTTAATTAAGCCCAAAGGTAAAACAAACTTCTCATATTAGTTTCACTGTAGTTTTGTACTTCGTGATTTTTTTTAGTACTTAGCTGCGTGATTATAGTGTATTTAATCTTAGGTTTAGTTCTTTCTTTCAGTTCAAAAAGATTAGATACATTTGCTCTCACATTTGCACCAGTTTTCGATTTTTTTTTTTACTTTTTAGGCATGTTTTCTTTTTAGGGACTTTTGAAAAATTGGAAGTGTGCGGGTTTTCTCATGTGTATGTAAAGACAATACTTCAATGGGAAGAGGTCTTAGAACAAAGCCATTTCCTGCCACCTTCTGTCACCAAGACCAGTGTTTCATTTTTATCTTGTCAGGGATCTTCTTTTCATTTCACTTATACTGTAGTAGAAATAGCATTGGGGTACGTAAGTGTTTTGGCACTTTCTGAGAAGAGCTGTTGGTTCCTTAGGAAGTCCTTAAGTATATAACTCTAAATGAGAAATTGAAGATTAAATTGAAAATAATTTGTATGCCTCAATATTTATATTAACAGGGCTACGTGTCTTTAAGGTACTAAAGCAGAAGTCAAATCATATTGGGCAAATGTAAGCGGGTATTTTTAATTGATAAGTGAGAAACTGGCACATGACAGACATATTAATATTAATTGTAGTAACAGTGCAACAAGATGGCATTGACAGTTGAAAATCAACAATATTTGCTTCTCTTATCTTCTACATCTCACTTTTTCTATATCTCACTTTGTCACCCTGTAAAATGTATTGATTATTCCTTTGCATAACTCCCCTTTATGGATAAGAGGAAATATAGCTTCTATATCACTGCTGTAGAACGTGAATAGAATTACTACTAAGGATTACTAATACTGTCGTAGTTTGTTTTCCAAATATTCATAGTTTTCAAACATTGATAAATTCAGTTATCATGATTTAGTTCTTTTTTCCACTGTACTTACACTGTACTGTATTTGTATTGTTATCCCAAAATGCTTATCGTTATTTTACCCCTCATTAGCTATTCAAATATACAGCCGGTTGAATTTGAGGCTATGATGTAATGATGCAGACAGTTCTTCAGCTAAACAGTGAATAAACGGGATTGCAGGTTACATCCTGGAATAAATACTTCTGTGGATCTTTTGTACTGTGCCAAGAAAACTTTCTTCATACTAGCGTTGCGTAGCAGAATAAATGTTTTTCCTTTTGGCATCCAGTCTTTTTTTTGCTTCATTCCAGTGACAGTGTGAAAAAAAATAGCGCTTCTTACTCCCAAGTGTACTGCATTGATGCTCTTTCCATCATTTCAAGCCCAGAATTCAAATTCATGTTTCACTTTGTGAAAAAGAGCTCAACTACTTTTTTTGTACCCTTTTTTCTCCATAGGCTTGAAATATCTCCCTATCCTTCTTGAGGCGACAACTTTATTGCCCCTAGCAGACGTCCTCTCATCAGCTAGAGGTGTTAACTCCTTATCTTGGTTTAGAAATTCTTATGCAGTTGATCAAATTATTTTTAGTTAGTTCAGAACATAGGCCTTAGGGTTAACCTTCTGAAAGGACAAAAATTGTCAGAGAATATTACAAATGACAGTTTGATTTTTTTGTGCTGTATTCTCTGGCTTTGAATCAATACCTACAGTATGTGTTCTTCTTACTCAAAATGGCAAAACTTGCACTTTGGAGTAAAAAGCTTTTGAAAATAGCCCCCTTTGATTCTTTCTTGGGGTTGCTTGTGCTTGTTGCTTGTCGAAAAGAGCGGACACCTACATCCACCTTTCAGAACACCTAAGGATTTATAGTTTATTCTGATTATAATTATTACCTTCAGTACTCATTGTTAGCATTAATACCCCCCCCTCCCCCCCAGGTTGTTTCGATAATAGGGAGCCCATTTATTATCCTCAAAGTGTTTGATCTATGAGTTTTCCAGACAACCATCTTAATCAATCACATTTTCTTTAACAAGGGAAAAATCTGCACTAAATTCATCTGAGCCTACAGGCAAACTTTGTAGTGCCTGTTCACAGTGGTTGAAGTTTATGGTAAAACTGTGGTCCTATTAATTATGATTTCCTGAAAATGGTTCTTTTCTGCTTCAGCAAAAGTAATAAATGCATAGTATAATTTTGAAATTGGTCCTCCAACTGAGCATAAGACGTGATAAGGTTTTCCCCGTGATGGAAATCATGGGTTTCATACATCTATAGTATAAGAGGGTGTTACTTTGGAGGTGTCATTGTGAAAAACTCAATGCAATCAATTCTTAAATAGCTCGTATATGGAATGTTTTTTTTTCAATAAAGGCACAGTACTACACACAATACTGCAGTGATTGGATACGTTTTAACAATATGGAATTGTAGATTGCTGCTGAATTCATATGGGGATTGATAAAAGAAGTCCCATTCCAATGCAATAAGGAGGAATCTACCAAATGAATTTAGAACATGTAACTTTACAGTGCAGGAGGTGGTACAGTTTTGGTATCACCTTGGGTTATTGGAAAGATAATTGAATCTTCTTGTTCAACAATTTGAAGCTAGCAGTAGTTCATTTATATATATATATTTTAGCTCTTTAATTGCATTGGTAACCTTACAAGTATCCTTTGTGAGATCTGTACCCACAAGCTTGCGATTGGAAGTCCAGAGCCCTAGCCAGTACACATTGGTTTTTTCCTTAATAGACCTGCCCTATTAGAGCTGACAGAAGGTAGACTGGACTGTACAATTATCTGATTACAACCCCTTTGAACTTGCCAGCTCAGAGTTGTGGTGTACACAGCATATTTAAGAGTTCAGGTGCTCATCTAGGGCGAGAAATTAGCTGTCTATTTTTGCCCCCAAGTCATTCTTAAAGACGTTGGGTATCATTTAAATTGTTTTTGATCATTTAAACCCCTCTTTATTTCCAAGTAAAAAAAAAAATACTAGGGCTTTCATTTGTTTGTTCCATGATTCGGCTGCATCTCTGTGCAAAGTCCAGTACAAATTAAACACTTTTCTGAGGGATAAATGGGTTTCATCCTATTGAAAGAATGACAATCTTACTGCTAGATTGCTAACTATAGATAACACAATAACTGGTTACTTACTTATGTTTTTCAATCTTTATCTCTTTTTCCTCTTTAGTTGTGATTGTCAGTATGTTGATGTGTAGTTAGTAGCTGAGTAGCTTTACCCTCTTTGTTACCGTTTTCCTCAAGAATTCTGCTATTGCTAACAGTATCCCTTTAGGACTAATGGTAACATTTCTAATTGTGAGAGACTAGTACTATATGTCAAACCTTCATGTCACACTTTTTGAACATCGGAATTATTCTAGATTTCCAGTTATGGAGCAGGATGTTCCCTGCAAAACTGCTTCCCTAGACTAATTGTGACAGACATCAATAAAAACTAGATCACTTCAGATTGAAACTGTTAGAAATGATTGTTGTGTCAGTGATTTTGAAATAGTCGTTGTATAGAGTAGAAATGCAGGCAAATTTAATCTTTTCTTTATTGTTAGATGTTATTGCTTACTTTGTTTTTTAGAGTAAGTTGTGTGTGTTTTTTTATTAATAGCTACTTATGTAAACATAATAGAATATAGCTGGGCACTTAAGATACCAATAGCCTAGAGATGGAAAAACATATTGAAGATTACGGTTAATAGCATTAACTGTAAAAGAAACTGTACATTATGTTGGAAATATCGAGATACTATTAAGTTTGTTCTTGTAACACTGTTGGAAAAAATTGGAATCTAAATTTTGTAAGTGAAAAACAGGGAAGTCTTAACAATTCTACTTGACATGGTCATCTTTTCAGTAAGGTGAGTGGAAAGAAAACCAATCAGTCCTGTCAACTGGTAAAAAAAAAGGATGGGAGAATTAAAACATGTCAGACATGTGACAAGCCTACATCTAACCAGGTGGCCCTTGAGAGCCGAGTATTGAGCATCAGGCTCAATCCTGATGGTCAGCAGAAGTACTGTGCAAGGAGTCTTTATTCAACAGAAACCTATAAATACACCTAATAACTACTAAAATGTGGCTCTCAGCACAGACAAATGTTTAATCAATAAACCACACACAAACCTATTTACAGACAATAGAGGTTCTAAAAACCTGTAGTGGCAGGTCAGCTGAAACTGCAATTCTCATTACTGCTGGCCTACCACAGCATGTTTAGAATTGTCCTTTTGTTTTGTGTTTTAAGACTCACTGAGTCTGAGATGTAAACAAAGGCTTTAGAAAGGCTTTTATCAGTTTTCCAGGAAAACTCGGAGAACTTGCTTTTCTTCAAATGCAACCATGTCCAGTTGCTGAAGTATCTTAAATTCAGGAAGGAGGCTTGAGTTTAGCTATGGCCTGAAACAACATAAAGACTCATCCACATCCACAAAGGTCACACACATTAGAATCGGGGCTTCTTTTCATACCTAGTTTGTAGATGATTCATCTAGAAAAGATGGTAAAAATGGCATCATGTACTGATCTCGGAAAATTGAAAATGATAAAATAACTGTTTTTTACATGGTCCTATAAAAGGAAAGCTCATGATGTTTAATCAATATCTGGCTTCTTCTGCAGTACAAAATACAAAAAAGTATGTAATATTTCCACAAGAAGCCAGTAATCTATTCCCTAAACTATTAGGGTTCTAGGAGGTCACTTGAAGGAGAAATGTGGACCCCTGTCTTATAAGAAGACAGTCATGCTTCCACTCAGTTATTCACTTCTACCTGTAAAATCAGTGGTGTGAGAGACATGAACTTGGATAAACCGCTTTCTGTATGGCTTATGGCTGTATTTTGTGTCATTTTTTTCATAGTGAGCTTTCATGTTCATTACTTTCACCAAGCAGAAGCCGCTTCTTTGCTGTCCATGTTACTGCTTCTCGTTCATATGAACAATGGCTTTTCTTTTTCCCCAATTCCACTGAAGATTACCATTATGTGACGAGAGAGGCAATGCAGAAAGCTATAGATTCTGGGGAATTCATCGAGAATGCAGAGTTTTCTGGTAACATCTATGGAACAAGGTATGTGGGATCAATTTCTTGCTACCTTTTCTTTTGTTGAGTAGACCACATTTTGGTATGTCAAGCTGTTTTTCAGTAGTCGCCTCTTCTGTAAGTTTTGGGCAAACACCATTTGGTACATAAGGTTCCATTAAATTTATTGTAGTCAAGAATTGGATCATTTCTCACTAGCCAAGATCACCAACTTGCCTGGTGGTCGGGATATATACCAGTAGTGCTTATAACACAACTTATTTTTAATGTGGACGTTTTATCTCTCAAAAGTCAATCAAACAGACTAGTTTTGTAGAAAAAAAGGTTTTCAAACTTCAAACTGCAATCAAAAATAATGTATGTATTGTATGTTGCCATTTCTTGGTTCTGCTACTACTGGCATTGCTCACAGGTTGAAAACATGGAACAGGTAGAAGTTAATTATATGCTGAAAAGTAGAAAGAACAGAATGTTTCAGCTTGTTCAGATGCTCTTTTTTCTATTTCCTTTTCTGGTGTAATTAACTTCTATTTGTTCCTTTGCAGCCAGCTCCCCAACCTCAAAAGTAAAATATCATGGAGTGGCTGTAACAAGTTTTAAGAGACAAATCCTTACTATAAATGGAACTTTAAATGTATATAAAATACACTTTTAAAAAACATGTTACAAATAAACATTAGTTTGTGATTCCACTTACGCTGCAAGAAAATTGAACAAACGTAATATTTCTTATAACCCATCTACAAGTTCTTATTGGGACTAAGCGATGGCACGTCTGTCAGTCTGTTTGACTTACCGCTCTTAAGCGGAGGACAGCCTTAAGTCATCTGCTGAGAACAGCTGTCGGTGTTTAAAGGAACATTTGAAAACATAATTAGTCCGGGGGCTTAACTATTTCTTACTGCTAATCCTAGCCATGTCAAAGTTCAAGAGTGTTAGTGTCCATCAAAGCAGGCTTGTTACAGGAAAAAAGCTGTTTTCCTTTTGCAAATCCTGGACAATTCAAGATGATTTTGAAAGATGTATCCTTGATACCTAAAGTAATTGGAAATGTAAATCTGTCCAGTAAAGATTTGTAGGTTCATCCTTACTTTTCATATGAGTGTATTTCAGTTTCACTGGTTTCGAGGTTGAATGTAGTTTCCTGAAGTAAGACAGTTAAAAATTTGTAATGTGGAGCTTTTGGAAAGCAACAGCTTGGGTGAATTAATTAGGAATCTCCCAAGTTAGATCATGTTGTAAAGAAAATACAGGCTAGACTTTTGTAACATGCAGAGAATTTAACTTTGTTTTAGAGCATGAATCAATGTTTTTGCAGAGTTAAATTGTACCTTCAGCATTTCCTCTTTGCTCAGAACCTTTCTTATGACAAAAATTGTTCTTAACCTGAAATAGTAGTGCCACCTGCTGGTTAACCAGCATTTATGTTCAGAGATAGACGTGTTGGTTCACAACCAGCAATTTATGTTCAGAAATACATGTGTTTGATCTCAACTGATCAGCAGTCCCCAGTGATTAGAATGCAGAGTGTAGCAATGTACAGAATTCTCCAAAACTGCATAAACATTTGGGGTGTCCAGCCCCAGGAAAGGGTTATGAATTATATATAAGGTAAACTGATGCCAAAAGACTTTGTAATGGAGGTTTACAACTGCATATAATTCTTCTGTTGGATTTTTGCACAGATACACATTAGTGAGTGTGCATATTACAGAAACGCAACATCACACAGATTTCTTTCTCTACAGCAAGGCATCTGTGCAGGACGTTCAGGCCAAAAACCTGATTTGTATCCTGGACATTGACATGCAGGGTGTGAAGAACATCAAGAAGACAGACCTCAATCCCATCTACGTGTCCATTCAGCCACCCTCCATGGAGATCCTTGTAAGTGTCCTAGGCCAGTGCTTCTTTCTCATCAATAACCACATACAGTTTTTGCTTTTCAGAAAGTACCCATCTACATATGGAGTATATGCATCTTACTTTCAATAGTACTTCTTGTTCTTCCCTATCCTCACCTATGGTCACGAGGTTTTGGGTAGTGACAAAAAGAATGAGACTGCAGGCAGAAGCGTCAGAAATGAGTTTCTCTGTAGTGTGTTCGGGCTTACTTCTCTGTGACAGGGTGGGGAGCCTGGCAGTCCAGGAGGACCTCAGAGTAGAATCATCGATCCTCTTGATCAAGGGGAGCCAGGTGAGGTGGTTTGGGCATTTGGTGAGGATGCCCCTTGTGAGCCTCTCACTGCAGATCTATCGGTCATCTGAGAAGAAATCACAGGGCTGACCCAGAACACGCTGGAGGGATTATATCTCTCAGCCGGCTTGGGAGCACCTGGTACGGAGCTGGAGACTCTTGCTGGGGAAGGGGAAGTCTGGCTTGTGGTTAGAAAATGGATGGATGGACATTCAACTACTAGACAACCTGCAGACCAGTGTTCAGTAAAGAACATGAGGACAAAAAAATGGAGATCCCTTTTCTATGTTTAGTGTATCTTGTGTATTTCTGTATTTTTACATAGTTTGTCTGCCTGTCTGTGCCAGGCTTAACAAAGATGTAAGCACTTCTTTGTTTTGACTTTCTTACAAAACCGCATATGTTCATTGAGAAGGTGTTGTGGAACATAAATTTGTGTTCACTAAAACATCTAGTGTCTCCTGTTTTGTCTCCACTCTTTACCCATCAATGCAAGCTGTTGTAGCAGGATAGTTGAATACATCATGGGCATAAAATGATCATAGTGGTTAAAGAATTTCAATGGTGAAAGATTGCATAAAAGATTTCATGATTAGAATGAATTATTCACATCAGAGCTTGATATTTTCTTATGTTCTGCATAATTCTATCACTGAGTCAAACTGAAGTTTTCAATACCTTAGCATATTAACCTTCATAGTATGAGTAGGCAATTTATTCCATGCATTATTAATTTTCTTTGTGAAACAATGGTGTGTGTGGAGGTAAAGGATTGATATAGGATATAAAAGTAATGTGATTGAGTGGTTAAGGAAAACATTTTTGAGAACAAATGTAAATTAATCCCATAATCTATATGTGACGTAATGCAAAGCTTCTATTATGTGTGTACCAGCACTTGGTGATGAGCAGTTTACCATAAACTTAATATTTATACTTTATAAAGACACCTTTTTAAAAGATTTACCTCAGACATTCATAAATCTGTTTGAAGTTTATTGTAAAAATAAACACTAACCTATAGGCTCCTCAATGTGTTATAATTTTTGATGTGAAAGGATTATGTACTGAGGTAGTAATAGTGATAGTAAATAATGCCAAGTAAACATATTTAAAGAAATAAATCTCTAAGGACTGATTTTTGTTTCCCCAGGAAAAACGGTTACGAGACAGACAGACTGAAACAGAGCAAAGTTTACAGAAACGTCTAGAAGCAGCTCGAATTGATATGGAGATCAGTAAGTTTCAGCTTTCAGTTTAAGGGATTGAGGTTCCTTGCATTATTGATTTCATTATCACAAATACATTTTAGGTACATAAACCCAATTAAATAAGAGTCTGAGCACACATGCAACATATTTGCACACTAAGTATCCAATAAGTGTGCTATTTTAATTGTATTTATGAGTACCTGGCGATACAGAGTTGAACGAGTTAAGGAGTTAAGGAGAGTAATCTTTTGAAATTAACATTTAAATATCTGACTAGTTTCTCTTTTTTTCAGGTAAGGAATCTGGTCTTTTTGATGTTGTAATTATCAATGATGATTTAGAAGAAGCATATGGAAAATTAAAAGGGGTACTCATTGAGGTAAGTTTGTGCTGTTATTTTTAAATGTAAAATGGAAGAGACGATAAAAGAACAAGCTTTCTACCTGTTGTGTCTTACAGCTTATAGTTGTACTTCTATTTTGTCACTGGTGATTTTTGTGTTGATTCATATGCCATGGTCAAACTTCTGTCATTAACATTTCTAGGCTAAGTAACTCCACTGTTCTGTCAACATGTTGTTTTGTTTGTCTTTGTCCTTACTGTTTAACTTAATAATGATATTATTCAGGTCCTTTTTGTGATTGCATACTTACTGTATGAAAGAATGATGATGGGTTTTTAAGATTCTTTGTAAAACAAAATACGATCTTTATTTTTTTAATACATTTTTCCATGGTACGTATTTAAAATGTAATGGTTTTGTCCACCACTTGAGATTAAAATTTCAACCCATATTAGGGAAATAGATTGCATGGCCAGATATAAAACTAAACATCTACTATTTCTTTCAAACATATAACTTATTTTTGAGTACATGTTGAAGTGTAATGAAATGTTTGTCTAAAAGCTTACTTTTTTACCTTTTTTGCAACAGGAAATCAATAAAGTCCAGGATGCTCAAAAATCCTGAAAGACTAAAATGAAAGAAGTCTACCTCACAGGCCACTCCTGAGAACAAGAACAGCAGCCTTCCATTCCAGTACCCAACATTCCCTCATACAGCTGGGACTCTAACTAGAACAAGTACTTATGTATTTTAACTGCTAATTTTAATTTAGGAAATCCCCAGGTAGACTTGTAATGTTTTCCAATCCGAAGGGGCAGTTACTTTGTTTTATAGGTTTACATGTATATAATTAGGGGACAATTTTATTCAGTTTTTCTTAGCTGGTTAATATTATGACTTTTTATATTTAAATATATATTTACAGTGCATACAGGAGTTGTACTTGTCCTTGCTCTGTACAGCACTCAGGAGCTTTGAAATGTCGTTAATTACAAATGTATATTCCCCAGTCTTGGCCACATTTTGTCATCATTGAAGTAGAGTAACTGGAACAACGGTACAGTCAAGTGTTTAATGTTCTACAGCTAACTGTACTATAATGTACATATAAAAGAAAATGTTTTATGCATGAATCATGTATAGCTTATTTTCCAAGAGAGATCTGAATTTATTCATTACTTTTTATTTCTTTTGAAAAACTGAAACATTTTCTAGCTGGTGACAGTCGGCATCTTGCATTAGCAGACATTTGAAGGAAGATTTATGGTTCTCACTTCAGTGTGTGCATTTCTGACGTGTTGATGCTGTAACTAGAACAAAATTTTACCTAGTGAAGTTCCAGCTACCTTTTATTCACAGTGCAAAATACATTTATCAAATAAGCTCAATAGTTTAAAAATTGTTAAAATTTTATAGATTATGACTTTGTTTCCTATGTGATTTTCAAATAGTAACATTACTATTATTTTTTGTTTCTGTTGCTCAGTCTGTTTTGGTATACATTTGTACGTCTATTTGTATTATGTATTTTGTAGGACACCATCTGTATACTGTATGAAGTAATGGAATAGCCCAGTCTTCACTCAATACATAACATAAATGCATCTTTCTTAAATGTCATCCCATAATCAGTGCAGTGTAAACATAAGTGTGCTGAGTTTGTATCCTATCATTGAAACCTTGGCAAGTGGCTGGAACTGGGTTTTACAAACCAATCATTCGTATAGGAAAAAAAAACTACGGAATAAGTAATATCAACAGAGTGTTTGATCAACTTTTGATTAATGAGTCATCAAAACAGTCAGCCAACCCAAGAATGCCAAAGACCAGGCCCTGAACGTGTGTAGCCATGAAGGAAGAGGTGAACTATTGTTCTAAGAATTGTTCCTAAACCAATGCTGCAATGATCCTTTAAATATTTTACCCTTGGTGTAATATAGACAAATATTCATATAAATAACTTACAATTTCAAATTGTGTTTCATATTCTGGCTAATGGAACAATGCACATGTCCATGTAATAATGTGTGTGTTTTTAAGAAAAAAAAATACTGGAAATTGAAACATAACACATTATGTTAACAGTTCAGATGATGTGATGACAACAAAGTCAATTTCAGTGATCTCCATAAGCAATTAAGCCACCTTCAGTTTTGTTTGATTTTATTATTTAAGTGGCTAAATTTTATATTGTTTTTTATATGTGTTTTTTAACTGTCAAAATAAGATTTGTTTGCAAGTATGAGTGCACCCTGCCTTTTATGATTTATTTTGACCTCTTCTGACAATGTCTTATTCTAAGGTCGAGCAGGAAACCTTAACAATGGCAAAGAAGGAGTACTAGAATTTATGGCACAAAGGAGAGTGAAGAAATCTCTTGTGCAAGAACTTGAATTAAAAAAAGATTTTCTTTACAAATCTTTCCATTCCAGGAAATTGTACCCACTTTATGTCCTGCACAAATATCTAAGAACTAAGCACACGTAGCAGCCACACAACTTGAAATGCATGATAGCAATATGCTAAATAGGAACACTCCTTCCTTCAGTGGAATGAAATAATGCTTTGAGAAATCATTTCTTACTTATTGTGAGCTTCTGTAACATGTACCTGTATGTGGCTGTGCTAGTTTAATAAATGCCGTGTGGCACTTTATACTTTCCAGGTGTTGTCATTTGCATCTAGCATAACTACAGTGGTCACATTAAACTAAACATGCTCACTACCTCTCAGGAACGATGTTATAGTGTACCCTAAATAAGGAATGAATTTATCCTGTTATTGCATTTGACAAATGTAATAATGTGGGAGTAGGAGGAGCCGCGGCAAGCACCCGTAAAAGTGAACGGCCCGTCAGAGAGGGCGGTGTGAGGTTAGTGAGGACCGAGAAGAAAACAAAAAGGAAAAATAGAAGAATGTGCCACTGAGTAGTGTGGCGCCCTGGCTCGACTTGCCCTATTTAGCGTATCCCGATGACACCTGCCTAGCACTAGAGATGTATTCTTCTGAACAGGAACTAGAACAACAAGATTATGCACTCTTAATAGACCCATATACCACACATCTCCTTCCAAAGGAAAACTTCAAAGTCTGTGATTTGCAGCCCAGACTTTAATAGGTTAGTATACTAGACAAGTGCAAGTAAACTCACATTGCACATCTCATTTAAGTATCACATGTAAAATTTTGTGTTACAGACATTTTATTTGTGGTTTTCTTTTACATGTCTGTATACATCAAACTGGAGAAATGTAATTTCATGAGATTTATCCAATGTGCATTCACCTCCTTTTAGTAAAGCAATTTCAGTGGCACTGAAGCATAAATGCCTTAATTTCCTTCTTTTATATTTGCCAAGAGGATGAGAATGACATGGCATATCTTCAGCATAAATTGTCATAGGACTAATATGGACTTGTATTTCTATATTTGCTTATTATGGACAAAAAAGTTGGAAATAAGAATTACACTATTCATAATTCAGTAAACAAAATTCAAGTTACTGTCAAATTATTAAGTTTGTTGTATTTGGTAGATATGTTGTGTTTTTATAATCGGCAACACATGGATTGTTGCAAAAGAAATCTTCACGTAATTTATCATATAAATATAAATATTGTAATAAAACTAAATGAGAATCAAATTATAATTTTTTCATGTAATATAACAATTCTGAATCCTGTTTTTAACTCAAAGAGCCTTCCATGTTGAAGTCAATTCTGAATTCTGCAATCTTAGAGCCAGAATTAAACTTCAACGCACTTGGATCTCTAAAGACAAACCCAGTACATAAATACAGGCTTACACCTAATAAATGCAGGCAGCCTTTCTAGAACAAAGTCACCATCTGATACTAGGTTTTCAGAGTCCACATTGCACATTTACAGAAAACGTTTGATTTAATATAGACCTAGAAGGCATTGATTAGGCAAGGAAGAGATAAATGTGAAATTATGACAAAAATATTGTTGTGGAGTAGATAAATGTTTTTTTTTTTAAATCAAAACCACCCCATTCTAAAAAGAATGATGAGCAGCATTGAAAATTTGTGTGAAAAAAAAAAACTGATCAACTTTCTTGAAGTGGTTACAATGGCTGAAGTTCCAGGCGTACCAAAAACCTAAAGAAATGAAGAATGTGAAATGAAGAATCTTCTGCATGAGTAACCTCCTTCAACATACCAACACAGCAGAATCTGCTGTTTTATATCTGAGGAAACACTGATTTCCTTTTTGTATTACCTTTAAGACTGCAAGAAATCTGTGTTCAGTAATGCTTTTTTTCAATAAGGAAATATGTTCCAAATAGCTTAGTATCCATTTTAGAGAAAGATTCAGTTGACTGGTTATTACTTTATTACATAGCAATGCCAGAAATGTAAGAAAACATGTTGTATTATGCTTGGTATTCCCTGACAACAGGAAGTATAGTTAATAGTAGTCATTTCAATTTTCTTGCATAGCAAGCTGGTGTCAGAGCCTGATAACTGATTTGATCATTCTTAATTATCAACAAAATGCATAAGTATATACGATGAGATTTGGAGCCTGAACTGAATTCTAGTATGGCTCAATTATTAAAGATGCTATGTTGAACAGTGCTCAAATCTTAGAAGTACTGTACAATTCTATAAGGGGTTGTTAAACAGGACTTCTGTATGGGTTATCTAGGGGGTTTCGGTACTCTGAATAGTTTATAACTATGTCAAGCTGGTTAAGTCAATATCCTACCCTTATTTAGTTTTTACAGCTTGATTTCGGTACTGCCAGCTGTTTAACCGATAGGATAATAAAATATACAGTAAGGAGCAAGTAAGTAATAAGGACATGCATTACAATGGATTAACTTCCTAACTTTCAACTTTCCAGGCCTTGGCTTGTTACTTAAAATCAAGAAAAGTTACACCTTGTAGAAGGGTGTTGAAAAGTTTAATCGTGAGTTGTTTACACGTTATTATTTTGAAGATACTGTAACTGTGGTTTTAAAACGGACATACTGTATTCTTAGTGTCTGTGGGGCACATGTCTGGACACAGCAATACCTGACACTTTTCTTCCCTAATATTTACGCTGTTCACTGGAAGATTGGTAAATCCAGTTTGGTGCGAAGTTGTGCCCGTTTCCTCTCCCTGTCTCGGATGTAACCCTGTAGCTTGTCTGTGGAGAAACACACAATGGAGGAGCGACGCTTAGAAACTGGGACTCCTTGCAACCATGGCAACTCCAGGCACTCGGCAGCGGAAGGCCTTCCCCTGAAATGAAGGACAGGTTACATTTGAAATTAAACAGGACATCAGAAATGATCCATACATAAATTATTCTGGTCTAGGGAAAAAAAATGTTTAATTGTTCTTACTGAAAGCATCCAATGATGGAATCATTGTCTTCATACCTTACACAGACAGCACAAGTGCTGATCCATGATTTTGATTTTCTTTCTCTAAAATAATGTTCATTCTATTCAGCTAACAATTGACATGGGAGTTCTCTTCTTAATGGTGTGCTGCAGTGCAGTCTGGACAGACAGTTATCTGTGTATTAGTCTGATAATCAGTCGCCAAGCCTCTGTTTAAATCAGGGGGAGTCTTAGACTCCTGTCTTAGAGAACTAATAGTTATTTGATTTTCCTTCCCCCTCACTTCTTAATTTGCCTGATTGGCCAAGCTGAAGCATTTCTATTTTCCCAGTAAGTTGGAAATTTGGAGAGAACTATAAAAACTTCTGGACAGCAGCCCTTGAAGAACACAGGTGGGCACTTCTGGTCTAAATCCATTCACAGCGTTCAGGGCTGATGGTGTATCTAGAGCATCTTGGAGCACATAATGTTCTGCAGGTGATCCTTTCCTGTTACCCAAAGCTCAGTCCTCTCTCGCTGGAGCTAGAGGTCATACTTAGGAAATACAGTGCAGATTTGTAAGCACGTCCCTCACCAGGGTTTGCTGTGCAGAGTTCTTTTCACAAAATTCAAGGCCCCCTCTGACAGCCCGGGGTAGCACCTCCCAAACTGGATCTTCCCCTTTTTAATGTTTCTGTCCCTCTCGCAGTGGATGTCAGAGTAAAATGGGTTATCTGCGCTCAGCCTGAAGAGGAAAAAAAACCTAAAAGTGGTCATCAAAGACACAGCTGTTCAGACAACTTTCTTTACAAGTTAATTTTTTTTTTAAAATTTAGTTTTCTCCAAAATTCTCATCATGCTGTGTTTTTAAATAAATCTTATTTGTTTGGTTGTTTTAGCAGCTTGCATAGTTAAAACTTTATTGTTAGAAGCACACTTAATATCAAAGCCATCATCATTTTTTTAATTGAAGTTTTATGCTGTTGTATGTCCCAGGCTATTTCTTGTCAACTCTTAACTGAACATAATATAAACAATTAAGGCCAACAAACATTCCTCATGCTTGAAAGAGGCATTTATTTATCGTATAACCCTAGTTATCTTTCAGGTAGTTACAGCACACATAGTCTTCTGTGAGTCAGTGTTTTTCCTTGACTCATACTCACATGATGAATGCTACAACACCAACACTCCAAATGTCTGTTTCTGGCCCTACACCCTGCCCTCCCAGGATCTCTGGAGCTGTAGAAAACAGTAAAAAAATTGTTAAAACTCATACAACTGAGAAACATATTTGACAATGAAAGAATGAAACAGAATGCTAAAAATATATTACAGTGGAATGCAATACATAAAAGATAGTTCAAGCTATTGAAATAATCAATAATTTAACACTATACTGTCCTGTATATCACCCATCCATCTATTTTCTAACTTAATTTCAGAAAGCACCAGGCACAAGGCAGGGTAGACGCTGGACAGGACATCTGTTCATCTCAAGGCAGACAGAGACAAACACACCCACTCACACCAAGGATCAATTCCACTATGGAACTCAGGGTTCAAGCATGCAAGGCAACAGTGCTAACCACTGCGCCACTGTGCCACAACCCCTCATATCATGAAATATAAATTACCTCTGTCATAGTAATTTGGAAACATTAATGACTGAATGCACTTTTCACAGCAAGTATTGAATAAATCACAATATATTTAAAAATGTGCTGTTAGCTAACAAAAGCTGTCTCCGTATACAGCCGCACTCTGAACGGAGGAGACCTGTCTGAGCTGCTCTGATGTAGAGAGGTCCTACCTCGGCACTCTGTCAATTCATGGATCCTCTCCACAATGAGGGGTTTCCCTGCTTCGTAGGTCTGAGCTGAGCCGAAGTCCACAATCTTCAGCAGGTTGTGCTCAGTGACAAGCATGTTGTCAGACTTGAGGTCAAGGTGCAGCACATTGCAGGAGTGGAGGTATTCAGCTGCGCTGAGAATCTGTTGCAGGAACTCCCTAACGTGCAGCTCAGAGTACGAGTCTCTGCAGGGCATACGATCAGCACCAGTCAAACTTTCTTTATCTTATTTTCTCAGAGAATTTTGATGTTTGTCAAGAAAAGTGCACACTTTTAATTCCTTCTTTCTATACAATTCAAATGCACATTCAAATCTGTTCCTCCCTCAACTGCTCCCTAAATGCCTGGTCTGCAAAGATGGCTGAAAAAGAGCTGCCACCATCTCCTCCTTAACTTGTGATATCCTATTCACTATACAGAACCAAAACTAGCAGCTCCCTCGAAACTGAGACACTGCTCAGTTGTAAGCCTTCATGTGCTTCGTCACTGTAGGTTACTGACAAAACCCATGGGGACAATGCTCAGCAAACTACTGAACTCCTTCAGTCCTTACTCTGTTGCCTCATGCTCACACATGAGAGAAAACAGACCAAAGACAACTACATCTCTTTAGTCCAGAAGTCTATGTTTATTTCCCATAATGTATCTTAGTCCTAGTGAGACTCCTTTTCACTAGAAAAAACAAAAAACAAATGAATCATTGTCTTCATGCATCACACCGACTACACAAATGTTTTCTTTCTCTTAAATAATATTGTGTGTTCTATTCAGCTAACAATTACCATTAGAGTCCCCTTTTAAATACCTTGTACGCATCAGGGGGTGATGTAATCTTCGTGGTGTACTGCAGAGCAGTTTCTGGACTGACAGTTATCTGCATACTAGTCTGATAATCAGTCACCAAGCCGCAGTTTAAATCACAGGGAGCACAGCTCTGGTCCTGGAGGACCAGTAGCTATTTGATATTCCTTCACTATTTGCTTAATTGATCACATTTCATAAATTAAATTAAGGTATTGTATATGTGGTGAAGCTTTCAGTGATAACAGTCTCCACTACATGAGGTGATCAGTCAATATCATAGTCAATATCCAAATACCCAAGGACTCGCTTGCCTCTCAGCCAGGTGATGCAGCAGCTCGCGCCCGATGCACAGCTCCTCGATCAGCACCAGGTAGCGTGGGGTGATGAAAGCAGCATGCAGCTGGACCACGTTTGTGTGCCGCAGCCTCTTCAGCAGCTGGTACTCCCTCAGCACACACTGACGCTTCTCTGCCTTGTACGGAGTCACTTTGGTCGCAAATAGCTTCCCGCTTAGGTCTTCCCTGCACTGCTTTATGACGCTGAAGCGCCCCCTAGAAAAGGAAAAGCCGGGACTGAAACCCGCTGTCAACGACGCAGGGCAGACTGAGGTGTGCCCCCGAAAATCACTGTTACCTCTAGTTATTTTGTAGAAATAAGTGCCATCCCTCAAAATATTCAGTAGCAGAGTGAAACTATACAGCTTTGACAGCAGTATTACTGTGAAAACCTTTTACGTTTGTGCTGTAAGTTTATATTTACCTATCCCTGAAATAATTTTGAAGGAAGTTGCCTCAGTGGCTGTAATGTGGTACAAAGGTGTGTCAACATATTCTGGCATTGTGGAGCTCTTCTTAAATAACAATATAAATTCATGAAGTAACATTTGAAAGTTGTAAAAAAAGAATCTAATTCAGCTACTAGTCTTTTTTGTAGACGCAGGTTATTGTAAGTTGCAGCGTTGGGCTCATACGAAGTGGCAGAATAGCATATTCTGTTTCACATGGAGGCAAGCCACTGCTAAGTTGGAAAATAGCTGAGGTACTTGTTCACGGAGATGCCGAAACCCCACTGTCTGCATTATGATGAGTGCCATCCAGACTAGCTGTGGCCATTCAGTACCTGTTGGTCTCAGAGAGGAAGGTGTAGGTTGTGTGAATGGGGAAGAAAGGGGACCCTGGCTGTGCTGTAAGCTCACTCCCCTCTTCCCTGGGGCGAACAGTGTGAATGAGGGGGATGTGAGAGTCTAAAGAAAGAGAAAAAAGAAAGAACAGAGGTGTGAGCAGTGACTAGGACCAAGCCTAACACAGTCTGGAGGTCTAGAGTCTGCCAGCACTGCATGCCACTGGCACCTCGCCTTATAGACTATGTTATGTTCTAGGATATACACTAGGTATTAGCAGGCCCTGCCTTCTTGATCAGTTCCAATGGTGGTTGCAGCCGAGGGGTCGCTGTAAGGTCCCATCCCAGCTCTATTGACACAGGCCACCCTGAACCTGTACAGTGATCCCCTGGGCAGGGCAGCGATTGTATAACAGCTGTCCATCACCCCCTCAGCCAGCAGCCTCCACGCCTCTCCTGCAGAAACACAAGACACGTATAATGGAACCTGTAAACTGTCTGTTCCATATAGAAACAGATCGAGCCTCCCATGTCAAAATATTATTACTAATATAAGTTGTAAATGTCTGCCTTCTATGAACCCTTTTAGATTTACTGCGCAGACCTGATCATTTCTGCTGTTCAATAAACAGGATATTCCAAAATGTCCAGTAGCTTTATAGTGAAATTTAAGTAGGGTTCATTCTGACATGACACAACCCGCCGGCCATGGGGTTCTTTTCTTTTCCCATTTCTTACCTTTTTTACGAATGATCACCTACCATATATTTTATGCCCAACAATGCAAGTTGTATTGTTCTCCAACTGTAATTGCAATCATTGATTTTTAAATCCATGGATGTTGTCATGTTATAATGTGACATGTTTGGATTTTCAATAGAATATAAAAGACCTCACCATCTTTGCTGTACTGGATGTTGTATGTAAGGGGAGCTATGGATTCTACAGGCTTCCACACCAGTAGCACTCCATCCCCGTCCACCTGGGTAAGTTCTGGGCTGGCCGGGCAGGCAGGCAGCTCTGCAAACACACACAGGGATGCTTCAAGACTTCCCACTGATGTATATATCTCGTTTTGTTTGTGCGGTTTGAAACTGGAAATTGTCTCGTGACATAGACAGAGGTGCTATGTCACTTGACATACTGCCTTGAAAGTCTGATCTCATCAGATCTCATGAAATGAATCAAGATGTGGTGTGTCCAATCCTGGGTTGGAAAAAGTTCTGGTCCTGCTGCAAGGGATGGTGGTGGACCACTATTTCATGCTTTTTGCAATGTTCCTCCTATTTCTCTGTGTCACTCCCCTTCTTGTTATATCTTCATATTTTTCCTGTCTGCTGGAGAAGGCAAAACCAATTGATTTTCATTTTCTTGTTTTTCTTGGAGCCATAAATTCTCTATTTTTGTTGAAAGTACAGTGGAAATAAACGACATAACCAAACAACACCTATTCCAGCAATGGAGTGTGCTAAGGAACTTTAAGTGCCGAGCAGTAGTTAGGACTCTGGATTCATAACTCTATGTTGCAGATCCTAGGTGGATCAGTGTTCTTATACCTTTAAGTATGTACAGTGCTCCAAGTAAAACACACAGTTATGTTCAAATTTATTTTGGTTTGGATGAAAGTACAATATTAATAATATGAAGTAGAAGCATTTCTTTATTTCAAATGGACTCTGAACTCAAGATGTAATAATGTAGGTCATACTGTAGGTTCATAGGTTACAGGGCAGGTAACATTACAAATCAGTGAAAGAGTAACACAATTATATCTTGTCCTACATCTGGAATATCCATGAATATGAACACTGAGCATTTTAAATTACTCATCAGTGTAAGTCAAGTCAGGTTTTTTGAGAAGTGATTCAATCCTGGCTGACATTGAGAGTATGTTTATATAATAGTAGCCACAAATACTGAGTGGTTTACTGGTTTACTTTTGCACATTTTTTGCAGGGGATCTGATTCAAAATCCTCGATGGTGCTGATAAAATCAAACCAGTGAACTCCTTCAAAATCAATGGTGAAACATAAATCTAGGACACAAATAATAAAAATGTGAAAAGGAAGCACTCAAAGGTTTGTGAGAGTACGGAACAAGCTAACCAGCCACGTCTTTGAAGTCAATCCATTGGCGTCTTTCAAGAAATGGCTGGAGGAGATTCTCAGAACAAGTAACTACTAAGTGCCAAATGGGTTGGAAGGGCTGAGTTGCCTTCTCCTCATTTGTAACTGTTCTTATGTTCTCAACCACACTGTGGTCTAAAACTGAACAATAATAATCAATAAGTTGAACTGAAATCCTAAGGCAGAAATACTAAAGCTGTGTTAATATTTACCTTTTTGATTTGACTCTAGCTGCAGCTTTTCTTCATTTGGAGATATGTTTTTTTCTTTTTTTAGTCTTTTGTATTTCCAAGGGTTCCAGGTCATTTTGATTCAGATTTCTAGAGCTTTCATTCTGCAAAACCTATTTGGAGATCCCAAGATGTTTCTTCTCTTTCCTTTCCCTTTCTCTGCATCTGCGTCTGTCTCTCAGTGGGAGATCCATTGCAAAGTCATCCATACAGTATATACAGGAGAATTCTGGGACTGGACCATACCAGCTGACTTCTGTGAGTGTTAGATATTTTAGCTCGCTGGTCAGTCTCAATGTTAGGACACATGCCATATCACGCATTCAGATGGCCTTGTCAGAAGCACTGTTTACAGCCCCTGCTTGCCGTGTAGCTCACTGTACTCCTTCTGATTTCTATAAATAACTTGTGTGCTTTTAGTTTAGGAGGATAAAGCTGTTACACAGACTCACAAGGCCTTATCAACAGTTACACAACCCAGTTTTCTGTCTTTCTTTGAACTTTTCCATTGTCCTTTCTGGCATCTGCTATTGCAAACACAGAGATTGCAATCCATAAAATACCTTACCTGAACTTTACTTAGTACCTCTGTGCAACTATCCACCAACAGGAATTCTGTCACTAAGGCAGCTCTGAGTCCAAGGATGGCTAAGAGTTCAGCTGGGGTGAGTCATGAATAGAAAATAGATTTCAACCAAGCCCAACATCAGCTTCTCTCCTTGGAGATGGAGGTACAATATGAGAGAGACCTAACTGTGTGGAATTTGCTAGAACAAGGCAAAAAATGTTTATCAAGGCTTGTTCACGAAGACCATTAGTAGTATATGAGTAGTAGGGTTGGACACAATTTTCTAACAAAACGAGCCTTTGAAACATAAGATTAGAAAATTGCCTTTGAAGATTGGGAAATTTATCATAGATAGATACTTTATTAATCCCGTGAAGGAAAAACACCCTCATTTAACAGCACTTAAGAAAAAACATCCACATTAATACTTATTTTGCCTAATGATGCCTATATACATACAGACTATAAATATGGTTAAAGTATAGCTATGGAGGTGTGCAAGAAACAACATAAGCTTAAATATTAAATATTTTATAGCAAGCCCTAAAAAAGCTCTAAATAAAAAATAAAATTGATAAACGTTCACTGTTAAGATCAGCAGAATTAAAACAATTATATATATATATATAAATGCACTAATATATACTGTACAACCAACACTAAAAAGTAAACACAGGTGTGTTACACCTTTCACGTGAAGTATTGCAGGAAGGTCACAGTGGATCTGAGAATTGGCAGGGGAGAGCAAAGGAATCTTGCAGGACGTTGGTCTGACCCAGGACTCTCTTACCTGACACAATGAGGGTGCAGGAGGTGGAGGCCTGTCCCACTACGTTACTGGCCACACAGCGGTAGCTGCCCAGGTCCTCCTCCCGGGCTGCGTGGATAGTTAGAGAGTGGAGCTCCTTGTCCATCACTGACAACCAGATATGGCTACTGCTCTTAATCCACTGGCCCTCTGGAAAACACACAGCAAAAACGTGAAGGTGCTCAACAAAACAAAAGCATCATAGAGCCTCAGCCAAGCACAAATGTAGTAAGGAAAAGAAAAAAAAACTTCCAATAAAAAGCTTTATTTTAATCACAAGAGATCATAGGAAATGTTCTGGCCAATTATCCAACCTCCATTATACTCATTAGTAGATTTTTATATCAATTCAGCCATCAACAAAACCAGTTGACACTGGACACAATTGGAAACAAGTTAAGAGGCTGTCTTTAAACTTTCATTAAAGCATAGGAAAGATAAGCCTTCTGCAAGAATCAGAATGGACGTGATGTTGTAAACATCAAATTTACATGTCCACTTAAACATTTTATATACTCAAAGGAATAACATTTGATGTACTGTGTATATGTGTCATCAGTCAGAAATAGACTTGATTAGCCAAGCAACATATACATTTTTTTGTATTTTTCTAGTAGACAATTCTCCTGCAGTTAAAACCCTGTTTTGCTATTGTGATGACTTGTCACATTGTTGCAGCCAACGTAACATGAATTTCTGATTAACACGAGGAGATAAGCAAGGTCCAGCGGCAAGGGATATCCATTAATCATCCAGAGTAGACAGGCCCCAAAAGTGTTTAAGGAGTATACTAAAGTAAGAACATTCACCTTTATACCAGCAGATGTCTGGGGGTGGGTATCCTGAGAGCCTACAGGACAGCGTAACTGACTGACCCAGAGATACAGACATGTCTTGGAGCTCTTCCAGAAACACTGGCTCTGAAAGGACAAGACAAACAGCACACTGTAAACTTCATATGCCTCTTTCAACATTGGGCTACCATCAAGTACACTGAAACGTCAGCAAAGCAGTGGGCTCTGACAGCCTTATCCTCATGGGCTGATTGTTGCTCTGGCAGACAGGTGAGTTATGGAAATATTTCAAACTAACTGAACTATTAAGGGTTATCTCCATGCTAATAAATAGAAAGTAGAAACAAAAAAAAGGCTGTAGAGCCTTCTTCAACTGTCAATACAGCCTAAACACTGTGGTTTTCCCTTTTATTTTTCAGAGTGGAATTAACCTTTTCTTATTCCTTTACAGACAGCGCACCATGACACAACTCCCCACTCAAATTTAATTACAAACACTATTTTTATTGATGTGCTTTACAAATCCTGACTTTAGTTAAATGCTTGCATGCAGCACCGCTCCATGTTTGTGAACCTCGGAATGTCATACAAAACACTTAGCATTCAAAAATACCAAATATTAACAGTGATTTTCAATAATATAAGATTCTTTATTTATAGAACACAAAGAACAGCCACCTGTGCAGTATTTCACTCCTTCCACCTTCTCCCGTGGAAGTTCTTACCTCGACTTTTCTTCAACCCACGCAGTTTGAAGGAGAAGAGCTTAGACTTCCTCCTCAGGGACCCTAATGTGGCAGTACCCAACTCAGGATGTGGCTCTTCCTCTCCACCTGAGAAACAGAATAATTTACCTCAAGGCTACACCACAACTGATGAATGACAGAAAAACAAGCAAGTCTTACCTCAAATTAATAGAATTTGAGGAAAAAATTTAACAACAACATTAACAACAATAAGGGCATTACTTATGTGGAGGTGAATCAAAAAGAGCAAGTAAATGTATATTTCTTTCAAAATGAAAAATTCACCTTCTCTTTTATCTGTCTCCTTGCGTTGTTTCCCCCAGATGGCTGCGGGCAAGCAGGAGATAGAAGCCCTCATCTTCTTTGTTAAGGATAAACTGGAAGCTCCTTGTAGCTGCTGATACAGTGAGGGGGAGTGGCCCAGCTTCTCCTCTGAAGTTTGTATCTCAGACCCCTGTCCAAATGATGATGTAGGGTAGTCTGTAGATGAATGCTTTCTGAAGAACCGTAAAATTCCATATTTCCCCGTTTTACTGGGCTGGTGCTTTGAATCTGGGACAGAAGAGGGACGATGAATTTGTTCTGTAAGGGCTTCTGCACTCTGTTTCTCATTAGAAACTTCAACTAAAGATGTGGACTTCACTGGGAAGGCAGTGTCCCGCCACGCAATGTTGAGATTCTCATATATGTTGACTTCCTCCAAAAGGTGCTGAAGTTCTGGCTCCAGGTCATTATCATCATCGCCATAAGTTTCCACATATGCACCTGATTGTGCCTTCACTGAAGCAGTCTCTGACATATGTTCATGAAAGATCCCAAATTCTTCCTCAGGGCTCACTTGTGGCTCTTGTGGATGGCTTGCAGATGGTACACTAATGCAAGTAGCTTCTGCGGGAGTTGAGAAAATCACTTCTGGTTCTCCAAAAGAACCTTGAAGATCATATTTGGACCCATAAGGTTCTTTAAAAGATAAGGAGCCACCTGTTGCAGGTGTTTCATCTGTTGGTTCTGCAGCCAAGGCCAAGACAGGTGGATCATTTGATGTTCTCATCTCACTTTTTGCCATTGCAACATGAAGCTGTGGGAAATGAGTTCTATTTTCTTCTTCTAAAGTTTCTAAAGCTTTTAAAGACAGGTGAAAGCTTCTGGGGCTCTCAAACTCTGAAAGGCCGTACTGGGAAGTCAGTAGCTCTGACACTTCTTGAACCGCAGACACTGGTGTAGTAGATTCTACAAAAATGGGCTTCATTGGTAATGGTTCCCTTACTGAAGACGGTGAATCCTCAGTTCTCTGGGTGCTCTCATCTTGGGTGGCATACGCTAAAAGAGAGAATTCAGATGTATCAGGGTTTTCTGGAGGTGATTCAAAGCCACTTATAACTTTAATTTCTTCAGATAGGGAAACCATTTCACTTATAACACTCTGAAGCATGGCAGATTCCACTTTGCTATCAGTTGACGAGAGGGGTGTCTCTGCCTTGGCAGTATCCTCTGTGGTGAGTTCAGATTGCTGAACTGTCTCTCTTTCACTGTGTGGTTCTTTGAGTGTACATTCATCTGCAAAGGAACCTGTGTTTTCTGCATCATCTTGAGTGGATTCTTTCATTGCTTTTTCAGGGTGACTATCAAAGAGCTTGACTTGCATTTCATTTTCGCGTAGCACTCTGGAAGCAAGATCTTCACTCTCATCTCTTCTTGCTTCTATCAGTTCAGAGGGTGATGGGGTCCTGGTGTGATATTCATCTAAGGATCTGCTCCTCCTTTTCATACTTATATCAGAGTTGGAAACCCTGACTCCGATGTCAAAAGAACTGGATTTAGCAATGACTGAAGGTGGATACAGCAGATTTCTTCCCTGATTCCCACCATCATCTCCCTCATTCTGGCTCTCTTCAAATTGCTCTAGAAGGGGCTCCTGTAGTCGACTGGAAAGGCCAGCTTTCATGAGGTGCTTCCTAGCTCTCTCATGCCTCTTCATGTACTTCTTTCCCTGAAGAAACATTCTGCGGGCAGACAACGGAGAGAGCTCTGTGGAGCTGCTGTAGAATGTGCTCTTGATCAGGCTATCCCTTGGGATACGTACACAAGTAGAGCCTGTTGCATCATCTTCGGAAATGTCTAAAGACAGGGAGCTACCAGCTGAATCTTCATGACTCAGGTTGCCAGTGGACTCTGAGGACCTAAATGCTTCTGTAACATCTGGTTTACAGACAGTAAGCCTAAACTCACTGCTGACACCACCCTGGTCTGGTAAAATCTGTTTTCGAGGAGTCAAAACAGAATGTTCTTCCTTCTTCACTTCGGGCAGTGCATCTGAAGCACTGCTCTGTGAAAGTTCTATGCAATGGTCTGTCGTTCTAAATCCTTCTCCACTTTCTTTTTCTACTTCCCAGGACTTCTCAGGGTGCTGCCTGTGCTTAGCAGGTAGGAGGTGCTCTGGTGTGCTCATGGAGTCTGTCTCTCTGTGACAAGAAGCGTCTTCATAATCAGAGGAGGAGACACTGCTGGGGGAAGAGCTGCTATGGTCCAGGTGGTCTCGGGGAACAGCCAGAGAAGTTTCCTGGAATGGTCCTTCCAATAGATCGGGTATAGACCTCACCACCATCACAGACCCATAGGACTTGAGTGAGCACTGCACACAAACTCAAATCAGGTTTCAGTTCTTCCAATGACAGGGAGAGCTACTGGTTCACAGTCATTTGGTGCACTGTTTTAACCAGGACTGTCTAGAATGTCAGACAGAAATCTAAAAGTATCTTATAATCTTATATTAACAAATGCAATATACATTAGTCAAAAAATATTTAAAATAATAATGAATAAATAATAAAATAATTAATAAATAATAAAATAATCATTTAAAATGGTTGTACGCAAGTTCTCCAAAACCACTACCTGTCACCATTGTAATACAATGGAAAAGGTTGGTGAGTATTTAAAAAAAAAACATATTCTTCACTCTGGGGGTTTCCAGTCTTACATCGTAGACTCAGCAGTATAGAGTATACAGTACAAGTGATATAATGTAGTATTATTATTTTGCACATTACCTGCCACTTACTCCTTGAGACAAAGAATTTCAGCTTCTTAGTATTGATTAATTCAGCTTCTCGAGTACTCTGATTGTCCTGTAAGCAAATGCACCAAGATTACATTTCTTGTTTTACAATAGAATATTTAAGGGGATACTGTTTTTAATGAGTATCAGATCTAGTTTTTTTAACACATTTAAAATACATAATTAAATACATATACATTATATATAATTAAATATAGTATGCACACTGAGAGACAAACAGCATGGGATTGGGCAAAATATTATGCATGCGCACGCATACAGTACATTACATAGCACGTTGATTGGCTATGTGGGATAAAACGGAATGTCGGATAATCGAGACTCTACTGTATAAAGCAGAAAATAACTGACTGCATAAGTATTCATCCCACTTGAGTTGATATCTGGTAGAAGCAACTTTGGCAGGAATTACAGAAATTTGTTTTCCTGAATAATGCCCAACCAGCTTTGAACATCTGGACACTGCACTTTTTGTCCATTCTTCTTTCCAAAATTGCTATTTCCAATCTGGAAAACATTGACTTATTTTTTTATTATTAAACCACTCCAATGTGGGATCTGCCACATGTTTGGGCCATTGTCTTACTGGAAGATAAATCTTCTCCTCAGTCCCAGGTCTTCTTGTAGACTGCAGGAGGTTTTCCTCCAGGATTTCTCTTTACTTTGCTGCATCCATTTTGCCTTCCATGTTCACAAGTCTTCCAGGATCTGACACAGTAGCATCAGTACAGCACCTTACAGTAGCATCACCTTGCCACTACTGTGCCTCATGGTAAGGACAGTGCTCTCAGTATGATGTGTGGTGTTATGCTTTACGCCAAACAAAGCATAAGCATAACGTTAAGGTCAATTTTTGTCTTTTCAGACAATAGAAACTTATTCTACTTGGTCTCAGTTTCCCAAATGCCTTCTGGCAAACTGTAGTTGAGATTTGATGTGAGTGTTTTCAACCTGCTTATGTTTTGCTACTTTCCCATTAAAGTCCAGATTTGTGAAGCATCTGGGCAATTTCTGGCATATGCAGTTTCGCTCATCTCAGCTGTAGAAGAATATAATTAATTTCTGTATAATTGCTGTCATGGGCTTCTTGGTGGCCTCACTGTCTAGTGCCTTTTTTCACCTCGATACTCAGTTTCTGAGGATGTCCTGTTCTGCACAGATTCACAGTTGTACAATATTTTCTCAATTTCCTGATAATGGATTTTACTGTGCTTTTGGGGATATTCAGTGCCTTGGAAATACTGTATTTTTATACATGTCCCCTGATTGGTGCTTTTCAATTAGCCCTATTGACTTCTCTTTGACTTCATGATGCACTTTTTGTTGGGAGCTGTATTAATCAGATATGGATTACTCCCAGAGACAGTTGTATTTAATCTGAACTCATGTGAAACACCTTCACTGCACAGAGGTGGACTCCATTCAACTAATTATGTGACTTCTAAAGACATTTGGTTGTATAAGAGCCTACAGTATTTACAGGTATGTGTGTCATAGCAAAGAGGTGAATGCTTACGCACTCATTTATTTATTTTATTTCTCATTTATATATGTAGAGTTTTGTTTTCACTTTGAGATTATAGGGTGTTTTGTATCGATTAATGGCAAAAAAATCAAACTAAATACATTTTGATTCTATGCTGTAACATAATAAAATATGAAAAAGTATGGGGAGGGGGTGAATATTTTGAGAGCCATGGCATCTTACATATGTTTGTTAACTGTGGGAGAAAATATAAGAAAATATCTTTTACCAGAAACCAGTCATGCCTCAGACACTCAGCAGCTGTAGGTCTCTTCCTAAAACAGATGACATTAACAATTCAAGAGATGACAAAGTGAGAGCAGTGTGGTGGATAAACTGTGACAAGTTCATTTACACATGTGAGCAGAATCATTCCACTAAAATTGCAATGCATTCAACACCAGAACAGTGAGGATAGTATTTCTCACCAAAGAAAAGCCTGTGTATGTGCACTAAAGACACTTTACACAAAACATTAAAATCAAGTATCCTGCAATAAGACAGCATCAGTATATAAATATGTAAAATGAAATATGCAAACAATGCCATTTACACAGATACTAGAGACACGCACTCAGCAAAAAGTTGTAGGACCCTCTGGAGGAAGCCCTGTGCCTCTGGGCTTCTTGAAGTGACATCAGGATCATCCCAGGAAATCCTCCCATCCTGAATGTTCTTCAGTGTAGCACAGTCATTCTCTCCAAAGAACAGACAGCTGCCTGTCAAACTGTTAACGCAAAACAATATTGATACTTGACACTCTAAGGGCTGGATCAGTTATCTCTGCATTAATCTGTAGCCAGAACTGTACGATTACTGTAATACCTTATGACAGCTATTGATGCTTTTTTGTTTTGAACCGTGGTGATTTATTACCTGATTGGATATATAATTTACAGAGCAGGTGAATAACGATAACATTATTCCACTGCCCCCTGGGAGTTATGAACTGGGCTGTTGACCCCTGACCTCTATTGTAGCAGCTTCTCCTCCCTTGTTGAACCCTATAGAAAGGCTGCTCCCATAACATTCACTCTCTTTGCACCACATAGTAAGCTATAGACAGCTGTGTTCCCCCTTTCACTCTACCTGCAGCTTTTCTCCTCTTATCTCTCCCTGGTGAATAGCACACTTCTGTAACTAAAAGGGCAATAAGTCCTCTGTTTGTGGAGCTGCAGACTTGCCTCCTGTCTATTCTCTGTCACTGTCCTCTGCAGAACCAGTTTTGGTGTTCTCCACAATATTGTAACATGATATCTTTATCGAGATTCCACAAGATAGCTGATTCCACAAAATTCTGATATATTGTTTATTTAAATGTGACCTAATGCAACATATCAAGTTTAAAACAAAGGATTGACTCACCATAAGTAAGACAGGACACCAACAGACCTGTGGAGAAGTTAGTGTATTAACAAACATTTTAATTTAGATTTGACCGCATCGAAAACAGCATGTGCTGTGCATGTCAATATCATGGGACAATCATTCTTGTTTTATTTTTTCCCTTCAACATTGTCTGTTACATTTTAGGAATTCAATTAGTAATTTTCAGTCAGTTTGATTTATGTATAAAACATCTGAAGGCAAATTACTCCGGAAAATGTTTCCTTAGGCACAGTTTATCTCACCTCTGGAACTATATAATGAAATCATCAGTACTGTTATTAAAATTAATATTTTAAATGTGATTTGAAAAGTGAAATGAAACGAAATAAGCCCATCTTTTAATGGTAGAAAAATAAAATTGTCTAATTAGCACAATAATTGTACAAAATGTGCAAAAATAAACAACAATAGTAATGAAAACAATCATGAAGTAGTTAAACATACTGTATAAAAGAACAATTATTTGACCAGCAGTTATTTGTAAACATTCAGGAGTTACACACTGTACATAACACTTTGCAATTGTCACGGTCATCATCCCTCCACTACGGCAGGTTCCTACATTTCTCGTACTGGTCTTAGTTTTATTAGTGTCAGCTGTTTTTCATTCGCTTTCTCTTATTTAAGCCTAATGTCTCCGTAGTTCTGGGCTCAGGTTTTGAAGACGGAGCCCGGAAGCCAGCCTACCACCAGGCTTATAAATGGCCCGAGTACACAGGCTTCATCATAGTGTCCTGACCTACTGAGTCCAGCGCTTGGAGGCCCTTGCCCCTTTATGCTTTTAACCTTTCGTTTTCCTAGTCCCAGTTCCCTATTCCCGTGTCTCCAATGGATCTCCTGGTTTCTGGATTTTTTACTGCACCTTACTACCCCTTTGGAATTCCTTTGGACTGCGCTCCCCCCATGCACCTGTTCGCCTCAGTCACTGCTCGTTGTCTGTCATCCTGACCTTACCTTGCTGTATCTTCCCTGATGTCATTCTCCAGACACTTCTGGATTATACCGTCACGCATAGGGTCTTTTACAATACGGATTCGACTCCCGTAATATTTTTCTTTGGAACAAAAACTTCAAGCTCATTTACAGTATAAGATAAATCTTTAAAATCATCTAAAGAGAATTCTAGGCATATCTACAACAAACCACAACTTACCAAATGTCTGTTGCCTTGGTAACTGGTGCTTGGCAGACAATTTCAGGGGCCACAAACTCAGGGGTCCCAAACCTGCTGTACTGGGGTTTAGACAGGTCTATTTCTTGAGCAAAACCAAAATCGCAGATCTTAATCTCGTCCTTTTCTGACAGCGCCATGAGGATGTTGGTAGGCTAATGAGATAATTACAGGTTTAAAAATAACATTGATTTATGAAACACAGAATAGAAAGGTTATAGTTAAAGTTTATTTAACAAATTAAAGTGAAGTAAACTGAATTTTTTCTTCTAACAACATCTGGCATATACAGAAGTTAGACTCTTCAAATGGTGAAATATCAAACCAGATGTCTCAAATAACACAGAACTCACCTTTATATCTAAGTGGAGAATGTTTTTGTTGTGAATATAATTAATGCCTTCCAAGACTTGGTGAATGTAATTCTGAACCTGATAAAGAAAAAAAAACTCACAATGTTTGATTGCATAAGATTTCTGTATCTATTGGAAATTTAAACATTTTCGATCTTACCTCTTTTTCTGGGACAGATTCCTTTGATAGCAAGTGGTCTAGTAGTGTCTGAGTAGAGCAGCTAGGGGATATTGTTAAAGCAGAAACATGAGGGTTCATCAGCACTATGGCTGCCGTCGCATCACCCAGAAAAGCGCTATATAAGTGTAAGCAATCATTATTATTATTATTATCAGTCTTCCCCACATTGCTAGGAATATCAGTCTCCACCTTGACAACCCACTGCTGCATGACAAAGACTTCATGTAAATATATTATATAGGAAATTGTTTTTGTGTAATTTCAATAAATCTGTTTATGCTTCGTAATGCACTGTCAATGAATGCCAGTTACGTGTTCTATAGTACATGTTAAAATAAGTTGAAACACAATATTTCTTACAAGGAAAACTCTTAGGGCACATCAACACACCACTAGCCCAGTCGAAGAGCCCTAATAAGGTGACTCAGCTGTCCATGACTACCAACATTAATTTTATAAACACAAAGAAGAATTAGAGGTCTATCAAAGGCTCCTGCTTTACAGTGTTTTGAAAGAGTTCAATATTCACATTTTCCTTAATATATACAAAAAGGGTAAATGAAAAGTTTCTTTTTCTTTAACATCTCATCTGTCACATGCTGTACTTAAAAGAAAACACAAACTCACACAGCTACCAACTGTTTAGACTTCAGCCACCGTGAGTTTAACACTGAAGAAACTAGCTGTGTTTCCAGCTTTGATGACAAAACGAGTGTTGCTAAACTCAAAACATGCCGGCAGGATACAGCTCAGTGAGCAAGACCAGCGTCTTCCTGGTGTAGAAGGAATCCAGCAAACAGGCGAGTCTGGGGTGGCTGAGCTGGGAGAGCACAGATCGCTCCCGAAGGGCCTGGGCCTTGTTGCTGCTTATGAGAGGGATGAACTTGGCTGCACAGCTCTCCCCGCTCCCTTTACATTTCGCCCGCCTCACAAAGGCAAAGCTGCCCCTGGGGACACCGAAGACAGAAGTACAGAGCATTGATGGCTCTCTCAGACGCAGATATGTACATGGGCATTTGACCTTTGACCTCCATTTACTAACCATGGATTATACAGTACATACAAGTTCAGCTACAAATGTAGTGCATATATTTAACACTATAGATACAATGTGCCTTTATATTAACCTTTATATTTATATATCATATACAGTATAAGCTTCTAGTTACTATTTTTACTATCACTATTACTGGTATTATCACACTGATGAAAACATGTAATCTGTATTTTCTTAGAAAAAGAATTCCTTGAAAGAAAGCCTTCCTTACAAAATGGGCAAACTTCAGTAATAAGATGACGTTGGTGTACTGAAACAAAAGAGATCTCCCTGATGCATATTCAGAAATCGGAATAAGCCAGAAGTGTAAAAACATGTTTTTAATTGGAAAATCTTTCAGCGATGAAGAGAAAAAAAAACAGCTGTTAATTGTACAAAAAGAAAATACAAGAAAGAGCAACTATTATGGAGAACCACTTTTACAGATACAGAACCTGGAGTTGAGGTAATAGTGAATACAGAGCTACCTCCCAATCTCCTCGTGGACCTCGTACAAGGAGTGCAGTTTCCTCCTCTTTTTCCTTTCATGTTTACTACGCTCTGAACCTGGGGGGAATGAACAGACAATATGTCTTATTTTACTTAATACAATGTTGGAACATTTTTGTTTGTGATTTCATTTTGATAATAATGGAAGTTGACAGGTAACAGATTTACATGCACACAGATAATTAGAAATGCTCAGCTCCTGATGACATTCACATCTGAATTTCTGTCTAATGTTTACCAACCAAGGATTGTATTTGTACAACAAAAAAATATAATGAACCTTCAATAACTGTATTTGATAAATGATTAAATATTTGAGGCCAAGTATCTTTTATGCATGTCTTATTGTCAAGCATTTATTGGCACAGCAGCTGAATGATTATTGTAAATGCATTGTATCACCAAAACAACACACTGGGATGTTACTGTTAAGGGCTGAAAGGACTGTTATCAGTGATTTTCATGATTGATTTATCATGCCAGCCACAGGAAGCTGGCACTCAGATATGAGACATACTTGTCAAACTAACAGGCTTTCACAGCATCCTTGGGAAACTGTGATATACAATCATTTTTATCCATTTATTTCCAACTAAAAATTAAACATTTGCACAAGACAGAAAATCCATGATAAAATATAGAAAAGACAATAAGGAATTGTTGAGGGGGATCTGTGTGTAGAAGTGCCCTTCACTCTGCAGCATTTCTTCTTTATTATTTTTTAAAAAGTGCAACATTTTAAAATATGGGGTAGAGCAGCTGAAGTCCAAGCAGTCCTAAACAATGAACTACTGTAGGCCTGCTAGTTCTTACCTTCTGCGACAATAAGCTCAGCCTTGCAGGAAACATCGCCCCAGGGGTTGCTGGCAGCGCAGGTGTAGACGCCGCAGTCCTGGCTGCTTGTGTCGACCACGGTGAGAGAAAACCGGGAGCCCTGCTGGTGGAGCTCAACCCGCTCGCTGCTGGACAGCACCACCCCGTCCTCCGATCCCAACACAGACAATTGCAATCAGCACACCGCTCGGCACAGAGGCATGCCAGAGACTTGCTGCAGCCCTGAGAGTGGCAATTAGATGGCTAACTACTGACATTCCCAAAATTATATTATCAGTATTAATACTGTCCATACTAGTGCAAAAAGTAATATATATGAGCAAAAATATCAAGCTGAAAATCAGTTAGACATAATATTTGACAAGCAGCACAGTGTTGTAGTGGTTAGCTTTGCTTTTGCACTTGGGCCCTGAGTCCAGTTCCAGACTGGGGTGTTGTCTGTGTGGAGTTTTTTATGTTCTCTGCCTGTTGGAGTGGGTTTCTCTCTGGGATCTCATTTCCTCCCACGTTCCAAAAACATACTGGTAGGTTAATTCAGATCCGGAAAAATGGCCCTGGTGTGAGTTTGTGTGTGTCTGCATTTGTGTGTGTCCTGCAATGGACTGGCATCCCATCCTGGGTGTATCCTGCCATACTGTCCCATGTTGCTTATCAGGATAGGCTCCGGATCCCCATGACCCTATATTGGATGATATGGCTAGAAAATGGATGGATTCATTATCATGCTGTATATGTTGCATTTCAAACTGATTAGAATCTCTCAGTTTCTATTCTATCCAAAGGCAAGTAGGAAGGGAATGTCTGAAACCTATCCCTGCCCACGCAACCTTTGAAACACATTACTGGTAAAAGATGGAAAAATGCATCCTTTCCTTCATTTGAATGATAAACCAGCTACAGGTACCTTATACCACGTGACAGCTGGGGCAGGGTGCCCTACAATTACAGTACTGAATGTGGCTGTGTCCCCACTCTGCACCTGGAGGTCTTCTACAATCTCCTGAACGTGCGGAGGACCTGAGGAAAATAAACACCATGGTTCAATTACACATTACACACTATTTTCTATATTGTCTGGGACAATTACCACATCTCTTGCAAGGTGTCCAATAAGCTCTATTGGTGTCTCAATAAGCCCCAAAATGAATTAGTTCATGGTGAGGATTTTCAGATGCATTAAATATATTGTACCAAATTTCAATCACTTACTTATTATTTCTTTCTAAATTTCTATTTAAATTAAAATTTTCTAAATGTAACAATCCCTGTGATTAACATGAAAGATCAAGCCATCTATTATAGGATTAAGAATATTAATACCACTGTTAGACCTTAAATTGGAAACAAAAGAAGGGCTACCCAGCAGTAGAGAGCAATTATGCCACATGTATTAGCTGAGTATTGGTGCCGATTGATCTTCTACATGATCTGATTGATTGATCTACACTCTATGTTTTTCTATTTCTATACAGATAGTTATAATGTTTGCCATAATAAAGAGACATACTTCTTATTTGTGAGATCTGCAAATAAAATGTCTTACATACCTATATGATTCAATAGTTCTTTCTCGATATCTCTGCAGAGCATAGTGGTCTCAAGATTTAATCACACTCTTACAATTTTACATACAGGTTAAATTTAGGGAAGGCCGGGCCCTCTTTTGAATTTTGCATGCTACAGCATACTGAACTCATACTGTTGTACAGGAAATCCCAGATCAAACACATTGTTTAACCCTACAACTGATAAGAAATGCACACATTAATAAAATAATATAATAAAATAAACTTACTTATATCATAGCAGTATGAGTTTGTAGCTTGTATGGGTTTTAAGTCTAAAAGGTTAAAATCTTGTCTCTCTTCACCTCTTTTTTTAAATATTTCTGACAATGAATTGAAGGGAAATTTGTGTAACAATATCCAGGTATCTAAACAGCTTCTAGGTTGGAATGGTGAAGGGTGTGGCTGTGTTGAGAGGCATCAGTTCAGTTAATTTTATATCCTGATAAGTCACTAAATTCTTTGAAGATTGTTAGGGTTTCCTGTACAAAAAAATCAAATTTTCATCACATACCACTTTCAACTGCAGTTTTTGAAGTATTGCTTTATATTAAAAGCACAGTTTCTTTCTCTAGATGTGGCAGCAGTATTTTAAAGCTGTTTTCTCTACCTGACTCCTTCACTCTGGTTTCAACATAGTCCTCTGTCTTTATATCCCAGGTTACATCCCCTTTGTCATCAAGACTTGGCTCTCTGCCTCTGGTCTCAGTTCTGATGTGAGAAAGCACAATGAAAATAAATCTGAGACTGAACACACAATACAGACTACATATGAGTGAGTGATTCCATATGGTTGTTGGCTGCAAAAGTGTCTCACAAAGAATGCATCATTAGCGGACCTTAGTGTACAGAGAGTCATACCAAGACAGGAGGGCAGAATGCTCCTTTGTTTAATTGCATAGGAGATGTCAGTGTTAATTAAATTCGCAAAACAAAGTTAATCACAAAGTCAAATTTTTCCACTTCTGATGAGTATGAGGAGAGCTCTGCACTAACTGGAGTAATCTATGTTTGTCTTCAGTAAGGTGGTACTGTATGTTTTGAGTGGCTTACCGTGAAGAGTAAATGAAATCTACCTGTGGCTGTAAGGACTGAAGGACTCTAATCCTTGTATTATGAAGGCCCTCTTGTGGAAGGTGGTTGGGCTAAATTCGATTTCATACCATCTTTTCACGGGCATCCTGGACATGCTATCCAGCCCCAGGTCTGTGGACGAAAGAAGTACATTGACCTCAACTGGGGTAAATAAAGGAAGAGCTGCTTAGGAACAGAAAAGCCTGTGATTAGTGATTCAATGAGCCACAACAATGGCAAAAGCAGGTTGCACAGCATTTATAAAGGCTCTTTATAGGCAGAAGGGACAGTTTCCAAGAAAAATGACCAATGTCTGAACATGTTCTCCCACTTTTAACCTGCAGCGACCATAAGATCATGCATCCATTTCAGTTCTCTGGTTCTGGTGAAAGTGACAGCTGATCGTGCAGAACATGCCACTATTTTACTTCCAGTAAATAAAGCAGATTAGTGATTCAAAGACTGATCTCATCAGCTCTCAGCAGATGAGCAAGACAGGGTCTGGTCAGTAGTGGAATGGGATGCCTCATGGGGTTAAAGATCACTGCTAGTAAGAGTTGCTTTGTCTGGCTAAATTACACTCTGAGTTTGTACTCTGCACATCTCAATTTTCCTTTCTTTGCTTTTAAGAACAATTTTCTGCCTTCCCCAGTGATTTGCTTTGTTTTAATGCTCGTTGCACAGAATTATTGCTGCACACCATCCAGTGTGGGTGCTGCATGTTAGTGAATTTAAGTCTATATGTGAAGTGCTTTGGGACCTTTTGGGATGAAAATCTGGATGACCTATGTACTGTAATTAGGATTAGGCTAATCTGAGATCAGAGAATACTGATGTTACAATTGCCAATTGTAAGTATTGTATTAATTGTGGTATTGTAAGTATAATCATTCCATTTCAAATTGTTTATACTATAGAATACTTGGCACTTAGCTTGTTTCTTATGGGATGTTATCCTACTAAACATTACAAGCATAGCAATAACTCAGCTGTAAAATGCCCTTACTCACTGCAGTTGTTGATCTGAAAAAGAACCCTTTCACAGGTGGATACAAATATAACAAATATAAGCAAAATGACAGACTGCATCCACAAAATCCAAAGGTGGGACATACTGTATGCAAAACTGTTCTATATATTGCTGTCTTTTATATAATGAAACACAATATTCACATTTGTCAGTGGGTTTCCATGTTTGATGATAGAGAAAGAAAGGTTTCACTATCAATGGATCTTTCTGCTGCAAAAATTAGATCAGCTACTGCATACCCTTTGCTATGACGAAATCGCAGTCAGATTAGGAATGCTTTCAATACTTCCTTCATGAGCTATTGTAAAATGTAAATTTACTATAAACATTACATATAAATATTGTTCTACAAATATTCTGCAGGATATTGTTTTCTATTCCACTATTCTGCTTACATTGCTTTTTTAAGTAAACACCATATTATGCCAACCTGTCCCCAACTCTGGAAGAAGCCCTCCTAACCCCCACTCTGCCACTCAAGAGATAACTGTAGTTCTAGTTCCATTTTCCAGATGATGTGTTAATGGCACGTACACCAGTATATAGTTCCTTGTGCTTTCATTGAAAATCTTCATACCTACTGTATACAGTAGTTATAAAATATGCATACAGTATTTGTTCATATTGCTTACAGAACACAGAAGTGAGTGAGTTTGAGCCAAAGAGCTCAAAAATGTTTTTCTTTCTATGATTTATATTAACAAGGCTCAAGTACTAAATTTGTGCTTGAGGAGAAATTCTAGAGAAACAGTAGCAGAGTGAACTGTATGTATGGTGGATGTGAATGCATATTAAACTACAAGCAAGTTAAGGGAATAGGAAAAGGATGGCTAGTATACGTGACTATCAAAAGTAATTTGTTCTGCATTACCTTTGTGTTTCCTCTGTCCAAACTCCTATTGTTACCCACATGTAAAACTTGTTATGGTAAGATGCTTTTAAGCAATTAAATCTATGACCCTTCTCCTGCCTTTGATTTTAAACCAGCTTTAAGATTGATGAGATTTCACATGGTAGATGCGCTGCTTTGGCAAGACTAGTGTACTCTTGCAATGTCATTAAAATGCTTTTTAATTTGGAATTGGAAATGTGTAGCTTCACAAGAATTTAAATTAAAATAATTCACACATTTCAATATTGCCAAAACTACAATGACCTGCCATTTAGAATAAGCTCTAGCCTCCAAAAAGGGTGTTTTTTTTATTTTCCTCATACTGCTTCTGCATGGTGCCAGTGTTAGTCTCCCCTGTTACTTATCATATATCATAGTATCTCCATTAGACTCTGCATTTAATCGGATAAAAATGAGTTTGGGATTTTATTGGGTGTACATCCAGTTAGATGAGAGTAGAGCAGTAGATATGAGAGCAGTAGAAAACTAGGACCAAATGTTGATTCTTAGCTGTAAATGGTATCTTTCATATCATTCAATAGGATCATACCAACCTTGGTCGTGGGTGCTGTCTGTACGTGAAGCTCTTTCCACTTGTTCTGGCAGTGATGTACAGGCTTTATACCTGCTCCTCAAGGCCTGTTCCTCCCCAGAAGGGAGCATCTCCTTAGTCTCTCTCTGTAGGAAGTCACCTACTGCGGCCTCATCTGCTGCAGGGATTTCTGGGGCTACCTGTGTGCCATCGCTTGCTTTTTCAAGAGAGACATACAAGGAATCTTTCACCATGGAGCAGGGCCTGGAGTCTCCTACAGACAGATATTTTCACCAGATAGACACTTGGCTGTTTTACTGATCTATCTCTGTATAATACAGAACACTTTCTTTTAAGCTACATATTAAGGTCATTGTGTTACAATTTTAATTAAAATATGGTCTAAAAGATGCTTCCTGCTTTTATATTAAATAGTAATGTACTGTAGATTTCAAACTGAAGCTTCCAACAACAATTTGAGTGCATTTCACACATATGACCTAAACCACGTATCCACAAATTTTATTTCTTTTAATTTATAAGTTGCTGGAATTTCCTATGAAAATTATATTATTGTATGGATAAGAGAAATTAACAGAAATTAAGCAACACCTATTAAAGGTAACTAAGGGAACAGCTACAGTATCATCTCAGAAATCTTAAGATTGGGATTTTAAATCAAGTTTTGTTTCTTATAGAGATAATTTTCATTGTATTTTATAAATAGGACAAATCATGTACAACACACAAAAAAATGGACAATAAAAAGGAGGGAGACTAATTCTGTCATTTTTTTTATTTTCTTATGGCACTGGAAAGGATATGTTCCTTATCTGGCACTTCTTAATATTTGAGATCATGTGATATTAAACTTTCTGTAGAACTGTCAGCTTTCAATGGTTGTATTCACTGCATGTTCTTATCAGAAATTTAAATGCATAATTCTCCTTGTGTGGTCACAGCTTCAATGACACCTCTGCACAGAGGAACACCAGACCATGTTACTACCAAGCACGGAAGAATTCTGGCATGGCAGGGTATGGAATAGCTTTTTACAAACATCATAGAAAACGTGGCACACATTCACGTCTGTGATCCACTGTCATGTTAACATAGTATTGGTATCTGAACTAAGGTCCTCCCAAAGCTTAAAGAACAAGAGATATTGACATGCTAATGCATTTGCCTAACACCACAATGCTTACTTTTATAATGACTTATATATTTTATAATGATTTTTATAATTTACCAATAGCACACAATGCAGATTTGTTTCTCCCTGTAGTTTCCTAGCAACAACGTTTGAAAAATGTTTTGTCTGACTTGAAATGTGTCTTTAATCCCTGGGACATTGAAAGACCAAATATGGATTTAGAGGTGCTCCTAGATCTAAGCCGAACAATACCATGTGCTTCTACAAAGTTTGAAAAACAACAGAATTCACTGCCAATATATTTTCATTATTTCTTTTACCTTTTTCATTTTGCCCATAACCATATTTTGAAGATTGTATTCCTCTTCTGTGAATTCATAACAATAATTAACAAATGCCTCCCATCAAAAAACGAATACTGTTCGGCTGTTCCCTCTTACAGAGTCAGAAATCGATGCTCACTCCTTGTGGTAATCATTGCTATTCAAAAACTGATAAAGCTGTATGTTTTAACAATGACTTTACACAAATGTTACACAGTTGTATAGTAAAGGCAATATCTGATTATTGTTACCTATTTTGTTGGTCACCTTGACTCAATTCATGGTGTTAAACAAGAAAAGAGGTTCACAAGCTGTCATTTAGATGCAAGAAATTTATTTCTTCTACTTTTAAAATCCTGTATCTGACACACTCCTGGAAATGGAAAGAAAACTGAAATACTTCAAACAAAACTACACGGTCAATAATTAAGGCTTCACATGTTACATTCACCTAGGATGCCAGTTACAGTTGTACTTTTTTCTTCAGCTGGTCTGTTACGTTTTTTTGGATAGGGATACAACTCAAATAAAAACAAACATCTTCACAACCATTCTTGCATTAGTCATCTGAGTCTATTGGATACAAACTACAATGGATCCATTGGTAACAGTATTGTCTAAAGCATGCTATCACAGCAGTGAATCTGATCAGCATGTGTTCTTATGTATGGCTACAGTTTCGAACAGAATCAGAGAACTGGTGACAGTGGTTGATGTTTTTTTTACTTCCACAGGACTGTATTTACTTCTTTAAAATAGGTATTGCTATAAAAAGGATGATAGTACAGAAGGAACTGCAATGTGTAGAACAGAAATCTCTCAGACTTCCTATTCCACTTTACTTCCTCTTTCATTAAACAAACAACTAAAAAACGCACAATAGAAATGTCTGAAACAAAACATCATTTAGCTTAAACTTTTGGACTTCATTACACAGACATCACAAGCATTCAAAAATCTTAAAATCCAAGCAAGACTTTGACCAGGAACAAAAGTACTCAAAATGCTTACAATTAGCATGTACCTACCCTAAGCGGGTTAAGTACACAATGTTAACAAATTGTTAACATCCCAATATGTGCTGTTTCACATACAAAGCCATTAAGCACTATGTAGTTTAATATAATATGTTCTCAATCTGAATCTGTAGCAAACTAATGACAGAGGTATTAGTGTTCAGTATCAGCATCAATTAAACTGTGTTAAGAGGAACAAGCTGCCCTTCAACTAATGTTGGTAGTATTTTGCATTTAGTTTGGCATCTTGGTAATTTCCCATCCAGCTATAAAATCCTTGTATGCACATAGGTTTAAGTACTTCAAGCTGTTATTTATGTTTGAACATGATTGTTTTATTTTGTTTTCACATTATTTTGTGGAGTGAAATACATTATTTCCTTTGGCCTCAAATCCATGTTCAAAGCAAATATTTTTTATTTACAGTTAACAATCTCCAACGCTCTCCAGATGAATGTGCATATGCATATCTTCTTTTTTTATTAGAGCTTTACAGAAAAAATTAAATAAAATCACACAAAATTACACACATAAAATAATTTAAACTGAAGACCATTCTTATTTATCAAATCTACTGAATCAATGTTTTATTTACTTCTGACAGCCCTTATATTTTCTAAGAAAATATCTTCTAGAATTCAAGACTTTCCATTCTTTGAAGGAACATGCAGGAAACTCTTGCATTTTTTTTTCTTGATTGACTATTCAGTTCCTTCAGAATTGAAAGGAGTCCTATTTGTATCTTTTAACCCTCTAAATGCCACTCATGTAGATTTAACAAGTTGATTTTAGTGTGACAAAATATCACCAGAATCCAGTGGCTGACATGATGTAGAACACAAGGTGTAGAACACAACAAAAATTCAATCCCTGTGACACAATTGTCTGTACAGCTTGGCTGAACAAACAAAGGGTTTAAATTAGCATTTGAAAGTCACCTGAATACAATTCGCCCATTGTGTTGTACATTTGGGAAATAAGCTAGAATAACACAACATAATAAAGTCTCACGGTTAAATATTGCTTTCAAGACAGCCAACAGCTATGGCATCTTGGATATTTGCTTATTGCTTGATTAATAAACTCCAATATCTGCTTTTCTTTATAATGTGTTTTTCAAAAATAGTCATCAGACTCTTGCTCCTGAATCTTGCATTTGAAAAAGCAGGAGAGCCTGTCAATGTTAATATCTTATCTTCAGTACATCAATATGGAATGATCTGCCATTTTCATAAATGCCATACCTATATAGGTTTACATTTAAGAATTTTCAGAAATGTTCCCATTTAAGACTAAAAGGGCTTTTTTAGGTCACTTTCTCATTGACATTATAGTTTTCCTGGAAACAATTTAAAGCAAATGGTACTCGTTTACAATGACACTTTTTGACTCATGGGTTTGAGTGTTGGTATTTGTCCTTCTTGCTGATCTGAAGAGTGACTGGCTCTCCCACTGTTTGGTAGCTGAATGTTCGTGCAGAAACTTCTGTTTTGAAGCTCTGCTGCCCATTGTCGCGGCATCGCTGAACCTCCATACAGTATGAAGGTTTAACTTCAAATGTATGTTGGCTCTCTGGAGGAGCAGCAGCCCCTGCTGACTGTGTAACAGTGTCTGTACATGTTCCAGTCACATGCACTGACACCCCTGGCACCCCACTGGACTGGGCTTCAGGCATGTGGCTTGCGGACATGAAAAAGCTACTGGAAAGATGCTCCTTGAAGCGTGTGAATAAACTGGGCTGGGGATTTGAAACAATGGGTCGTCCTACATTGAGCAGAACAGGTTTTCCAATGGTGGGCTCATTGATCTCCCTCTGAAGGACAGATATCTCACAGGGTTTATCCGCATCTCCTCCAGATGACTGATCAATATCCTCGCATCCATAGGTTTCTCCTTCTTCTGGGACATAATCTTCAAGATCTTCCAACGTTAGTATTCTCCCATCTTGGGTCAAGACTTTGATGTCTCTGTTTGCCAAGGTATCTCCTTCTTCCTCTGGTTCTTCAACAATGATGGTTTCCTCATTAGGTGACTCCTCCTGACATTGATCAACAGAGGGGTCTTTTTCCGCAGAATCTCCCTTTGCCATTTCCAGAGATGACTCATCATGGCCGGACTCTGGTGTTTCAAAACTAAAGACAAGAGTTTGTCCAACCTGAGCTACCATGGGGGATGTACCATCTTTCAACTGAATGCTGGTCGTTACCCCTGTTGTGACGACATCTCCGTTTCCCTCAGAAGTATCGCAGTGAGGCTGTGAAGCAGCCCTTGAAGATACTGCACTAGGGGTGGTTGCTTCTCCATCTGCTGAAGCCCCATCTTGTCCATCTTCCCAAGGAAGTGGCTGAATATTGAGATCAGGGAGGCTGTCCTCTGGCAGAGAGGGGCCTTGCTGTTCTACCAGCTTGTTGTTTGAGTTGTTGGCATTAGGATCATCTCTGGGAGATCTCTTGGGCTGGGGACCAGGAAAAGTAAAGACTGTTTCAGTTTGCTCTTTCTCAGATTTGCCTGGAGAAGCTCCTCTCTTCCTGGGAAGCTTGGGTGATTTCTTCACTTTGTACTCAATGATCTCCTCTACCTCAATCCACTTAGACTTTTGGTCTTCAGTCTTGGATTCTCCTTTCACTGATGTAGCCAAAGCTCCCTCGTGTTCCGTAACAACGAGAGTAGGGATAACTGGCCTCTTGGCCATTTCTGGTTGGGACCGTGTTGCAGGTCTCTTGGGCTTGGTGCCTGGGGTGGGCTCTGGAGTCGACACCTCAGACCGGAGAACCCGTGAGGGAGACAGTCCAGGAGACATACGGCGTTTCAGTCTGGGAGTCTTCACCACTGTGGTTATAGTTTCTTCTCTGATGATGGATAATGCAGAAAGTTTTAAGTAAAAGACATTTTCAAGGATCCAAACTGCAGCCATACATGCCAGCAGGTAAGTTGGATGTTAGTTTGCGTGACCTTGGCCACACGTTGAACTCGCACAAAGAACAGCAATCCACATGTGTTGTCATACAAGGAAAAAAGCTCTTTTTGAACACACAAGTAAACGTTACACTCAAGTGCAGTAAAAATAAGTGTTTTAAAAAAGACAGAAGTATCTTCTAAACAACACATTGCTAAAATAACTTGATTGATACACTACTGAAGCTTAAACAAATGGTTCAAGATACCAAGACAGTAAAACATTAACGTGCTACATGGGATGATTTTTACATATTTAAAAGAGGGTTAATATGTTAGCTATGAAGATTTAGTTGCAGAATTTTAAATGTATTATATTAGGTAAAGTATATATGAACACAACCAACTGAAATGCTTTATCAAAACTTTATAACCTTAACTTAACTTTACTGTACAGCTGTTTGTGTTTGTGTAAAAAAAAGAATAATGTTACCAGAATTACATGACTTCCACAATAGTAATTACCTATATGCTACAGAGACAAAAAAAACAACATATCTTTCAAGTCTGAATGATCATGAGATGTAAGAGGCTCCCTGAAGGTTTCTGTACAGTATGTACACATTTCAAGATTATGTCTTTCTATGTTGTGCAACTGTGGAATCTACAATTCAACGTGAAAATTAAGAGCTTGTGGCACTCGAATATCAAACACACACCTTAGTTTGACACATAACAAACTAAGTCAGCACTGGAAATATAAGGTCAATACAGGTTTACTGTACTTAATCTACTACTCTGTCACCTAATTTGCAATGTGAGCCAGTAAAGAGGGTACTGGGTGAGCCAGTAAAAATTCATCCAGCACTGAAATGAATAACCAAAAGCTGAGGTAGAAATGAATTGCTTTTGCTTGCTTATCAGTCCCTCTTTTCATCATCTCATCTTTCTTGCAATTGACTGCCATTCATCTTTATAGTTTTTAATGAACAGAAAACTGTTAGCATTTTTAATGATGGACAATCATGGAAGTCCGAAATTAAGTTAAAATATATTTGATTAAATAGTGATAATGGTTTGCAGTGAAAGCTTTGAAAGAATGTCTTCCTCCTGATGTCCATTGGAAGCATTGAAACATTAGTAGATATCAGGATGGTATTTTGAGCTTGAACACAGCAGCTTTAGGATCTTTTATTATAATTTATAAATAATATATACTGTATATAAAATCTATGCCAAATAATTTTTATTTCCATGGTAATTCATTCTATATGACAAGAACTAGAAAAAACAAAAGAGAAAGTTGATTTGAAATGAGTTTTGAAAGAAACAAAATTGTCCTTTTCAGGAAAAAAACAACATAGAAACCAAAATACTAATGGACACAATAATCAAATTGTTTACTAATACTCCTGTGTTCTGTAATTTGATAGATCAAGCTTTTCTGACACAGGAGGCATACAAAATACCATCAGGAAATGTTAAGGGAAAAGCAGAGGTGCACCAGACACAGGAAAACAAATCCTCTTTCAAGACAAATGTTAGACATAGTCCTGCCAGGCCTACTACTCAACATACAGCCCTTGCAATTTGTCCCACTGCAGTACTTCAGCATTACCAGCACCTTCACTCCTATATTGAACCTGGTTCTATGGAGTGTGGGAGGACACTGGAGCACCCAGAAGAGTGCCCTTGTGAACATGGTGAGAACATGCAAACTCCATACAGATAGCACCCCAGGTTGGAATTGAACCAAGGGCTTCAGCGCTGCTAACCAGGTAGCAATGCTAATCACTGTGCCGGTAATAATTAAATAAAAAATTAATCTGATTGTTCTAACAGAATTCTACAATGGAATGGATTAAAAATGCTGCAGTTTGTTCTACTCTGTTCTAGATGTCCACATGTCCATTGCTCTAAAGTATGGAAAGCTTGAAATGTATTGCCAGGCTTGAGGAACATCTTCAGATGTATCTGCTTGAAATTATTTTATAGCAGAAGAGTGAAGATTTCAGAATACTGCCTTTTACTCTTGATTTCCGACATTTTGTTTTCATTTCAATGAGCATACTCTTTCAAATTATCTAATTTTAGATATTTTTTTCTTTTACACTTGGCATCAATGTTTTCAGAATCCTGTTTAGTTTCTCCTTTCCATCAACTGGAGGAAAGAGTTTTGGAAAATGCTACATTTTTTTGTGTGAATACAGGATTGACATTTTCTACACTTTGAAGTTTTTTTTTATTTCGCTTTTGCATTACTTTTTATTTCCCTGCACATTATTACAGTATTTCACCTGTGAGTACATCAGTTAGCTGGGCATGCAGTGGTGAAGAAGCATGAATAACATGCAGTATGAATCAGCCAACATGATAAAATAACAACACTTACATGATGATGGTTTTCTTTGGCACTTTAGTCTCCTGCTCTGTGACTACAAGGAAAACAGGATGGAAAGCATGGAATTAGAGAAATGCCAAAAGCTGAAATGTGTCCAATAGCCATTGAGACCCAGTTATAATGCTTAATCTTATGCCACATTTATTGTTTTAGAAAACAAAATATAATATATATATACAATATAATACAGTAATATAATATGTAAGGGAGACTCTAAGATGTATAAACTACATTTATGAATGGCTAAAAAACATAGAAAGGTAAAAAAGCTGAATTTTACAATTACATGTATGAAATGAAAACGGCTTTTCATTTCAGTTTGTAACATGTGCTGTTGTCCGAAACCTGCATTTTTATTATTTTGCAAAGTCATCTACAACCCCGTTCATACCCCCTAAACGAGCCCAGTTATCTTATGAAGTGAAAATAAAGTGCAAGGTTTCAGTGTGTGTAGATAAGATGTAGATGCTGTGTGGAAATGGTGTACGTGATCTGAAGCAGAGCTTGTTAAAAAACTGAGACAATGTGAGGCTACACTAGGTGTACTTTATAGATAAAAAGGACAATGAACTGTAGAAGCCGTAGTCCTTTCTAACAGCTTGGAAACTGGGTATTTTAAATAGAAAACCAAGAAAAGAGGAAATCTGTGTATGGCTAAGAAAGTCAGGATCCCAGGTAATTGCATCCTTACATAGATAAGTAAATGCCCTTTCATCAACAAGTTACCAGATTTGTAGAAGAAATATTAGAAAGTGTATGAATTATATGTATACCATTTTAAATCAATTGGTATTTTATTATGTAGGCTATTAATGCATACTTTAAAAAGATGGATTATTTAAAATGATATTTAAATATTCTATTTTTCACAAGCATTTGTGTGATATAAACATTATTGACTAAGAACAGAATCAAATGCTATGGAGACTACATAAAAACTAATTAATCATGCCGTTAAGTTTTAATAAGTACTACTGTAATGAATGTGAGTGAGATATCTTTAATTTAGATCATTTCAACTTTTATTTTTAGCATTTATTAGCAGTGGCATCTGGGTAAAGCAGGTTTTGGAGACGACTGATGTAGTATCAAAGCGTGTTACAGGTCACAAGCATTAGACAACATAGTGGATATGAAATGTCATCTCTCTGTTAAAGGAATGGTTCTCATTAAAATGAGTGATGGCAGTGATCTTTAAAGAGTGGGGATGATGCTGGTGAAATGATAGAAGAGAGGGATCATGATACAATATGTGCTCAAACCCTGGTGAAGACTCAGGCATCTTACAGAGACTTAAATGCCCCTTACAAACCTTTATTAACACCACAGCAGAATTAGAGCTCAACCAAAATTATTTTCATTTTTATACCTGTAGAACAATTACTACATCTGAGTGCCATTGGGCTAATTTTCAGCCTTCACATGTATATGACCAACTATGTAGTTTTGTGCTTAATCACTTCTGTTGTGTTTTTTTTTTTTACTTCACTCTTACTTATCTACTATTAAGAACTAGACCACCATTGTGATCAACCAGTCAAACTTGGTCTCAGCCCCCAATTTCCTTTTTGTTTCAGATGAAACACAGGCATAACATCAAGCTCCCGTATGCCATGTACCTCACTGGTTATGAGCTGACCTCCTCTTCATGATTCTATTCAGCATTTGGCAGTTTATTGTACCTGGAGTGTATGTCAACTGGTTAGAAATGACCCAATAACTAGAACTCTCCTTTAATATTAAAAATATCTTCCTACATTACATAAACAATAACTCATAGGCCTGGTGCTTCCAAAAAGAAACTGTACTTCATGTCAGAATGAGAAAGTACATTTTTTGTTCCAAATAGTGGAAGATGAAAGTGGAAGTATGTGTATCTTCTGCTTCTGCTGAAGCACTGATTTGTATTTGATACAGTCTAAAAAAAAACAATCCATCAAGACACTTGTCACAACAGATGATGCTTTCACCATACTTGATACTAATGCATGTTTCTTTGAAGAAGATATACCAGTGTAAATAACGCACCAGCAAGGATTGATAAATAAAGTTAAAGACTTTTTACTTGTGATGAAAATCATTGTCATAATTGCACATTTGAATTGAACAAGAACACTTCATCAGCTTGATTTGAACCTTGAATCCTGCTTCCATTGGGCTGGTTGTCTATCCTGATGTGAAGGAGGTAAGTAGTGGGAATATTCTACATAGATTTTTCTATCCAATGCAGAGAATAATAACTTTCTTTAAATTACAGATTGATGTGTGCATTCGGCTTTCAGACAATGCATGTAGTTAAATTTTTGATATCTGACAATATTTAACTTGAACAAGT